AAAAAAAAAAAAAAAAAAAAAAAAAAAAAAAAAACTTACATGTAAAGCGCTATCACAAAGCCGTTAGCTCCGCCCGTCCACCAGTTCCCAATACCTAGGTCCACACATAAGATAGCTCTAGCTAGGGATGTACCATTAATTATGTAATCAAATAGAATAGGTGATCGATTCCTAAAACTATTGAAAATTCACTTCAACCGCAGAATTTTCCCATTATTTCTCTAGCATTATTGTACAATGGACATTCCCACCAGACATGTTCAATTTTTTTCCACCATACTGCGCTGGAGAGTTTTTGGCTAGACTAGACAAAAAATCCATTGTCATCATTAGTGAATTCTTGGATAAATGTTCGATAAAAATTTAAAACCAATGTAACCTAAGTTCTAAGTGTCAAAATTTTGTATTTTATTAATTGTACGCAAATTAAACCTCCAAGGTTTAAAAATGCTTAATAAAAAAAACCGCAGAATTTTCAGCAGCCCCTCAAAAATCAGGAATATCAATTTTTCTTCAACATTAAAATTAAAATAATGAAAAATGACCTATTCCCTCATCTCCACCTCCCACCAGTCCCTAAAAACAATCCCTAATCCCAACAATAAAACATAAAATACCCGTAATACCCCTTCGCCCCCAAAACAATTGTTATCTCCAACCGACCACCATGAAGAATTTCATCGTCCATCCCCAACCGAACCTTCGTCACGGGGTTTTAAAGGATTACACAACGATTACAAGGATTAATTTTCAAACTCTCATCTCACCCTGTCTAATTTTTTATTCCAATACCAGTTGATGCAACCCCTTTTCTGCGGGTTACTCCATGGTTTAACAATCACTCATCCGTGCTGTGACACAGTGAAGGGGTTGCCTTTTCATTTTAAAATAACCGAAAGGATAAAAAAACCCAGTGCACATCCTCCTAGTCTAGATGACGCAGAAATGCTATTTCTCGCATTACGACCGATGCCGACGGGTTAAAATCCACCCATCTGAGCCCAAAACTCCTCATCACGATCCTTCCGCCCTTTTTCATTTTCGCCTGTCATTGTTTACGTCAGCTTTCACCCCAACGGTTGGACGAGGACCGGTTCAAAAACTCTAATGACGCCACATTATCACATTCGCCTCGAAGTAAAATAGCACTGGGAAGACAATGCCGCTGAATAAACTCGTCAGTTTATTTTCACTCGTATTATTTATCATCTCGAAATGTTTATGGCACTTTTTTTAACGTCAAATTCTGAGCGGGTGCCAGCAACCCCCTTCAGTTAAAATGCCCCCAGTACTCTCGCTCGCTCTCTCCTATTTTTTTTATCCATTCAACATGAATGATGATGTATGGATGTTGGCTGGGAGGGTAGGGGCTCGATAAAGGGTTCCATTGTTACACCTCTTCCTCCCCGCAGCAAGAAAACCACCCCATGCGATAGCGGGGGGGCACGCCAAACGGGGCCAATGCACGTGAAATATTACTTGGTGCAACAAATTATAACGAAACTCGGCCGTATGTGTACATTGTCAATTTTATGGTTTTTTTTGTTTCATTTTCGTAAGATCCTTCTCTGATATATTTACATCCGATAATTCTCGACATCTGTTTACATCCGTCGGTGAATTATTTTCGGGTATTAAAATATTTTGAACATTCCCTATTGGTTATTCGTGGTGAATTTCATGCGAGGACGGGAAGAAAATGGAAAATTGAGATTTATTAATGTTTTTAATTTTTGAGGATGAACCATTGCTTCGCGTAAGTCTTGAATCGGCTCGGTGGGAGAGGAGTGGGGGGTACGTCCGGGCATTAGTGCGCCGTAAGAGAAGCACGCTAGCGCACGCAGGCGACTACAAAACGGCGAAAAGTGGGGAACCGTGGGGCGAAGCAAAGGGTTAACGGAGCTCTACCCGTCGGCCGGGCTACGCTGTACTTTTGGATATTTTCAGTTTTTTCATTTTTCAACTAAATTGCATGGAAAAAATTTGAAAAAATTCATACCAAGTCAGTATTATCTAAATTAAATTTCGCAAAATATTGAGATTTTTTCAAATATTTCCCTCTTATAAATAAATAATAAAATTTGGTTGCAAAACGGTGAATTATTTTTTATGAGGTGTCAAAAAAATTCTTGATTTTTTCACATCTAATGAAAAAAATTGGATTTTAATCTTTGATTACAATGGAAATGTTGATTTTCACATAAGACACTTCTTTGAAAAACCAAAACGATAATTGAATTGAGAAGAAAATTAGAATTCCGAATCTAATCGAGTTTTCTGCAATTTTTTGCAGTTTTCAATAATCTTAGAATCTACTTTAGTGAGGAAATTATCCTCCTTGGCCAATTGACGTGACAGAACAGTCCCATCGTTGCGTAATATCGGAACATTTCAATGATCTCTTTGAACTAGTCGCGTGTGCTGTCGACCTGACTTCACTCACGTGTCAAATTAATGCTCAGCAAATAGAAAAACGAGCCCACATTTTACCCCCTTTCAATCGTCAATTTATTTTCATGCATATAAAGCTTGTTTACTCAAGGAAGAATCATGTCTCCACCCAAGTGCACCTGGAGTTAAATCGGCACTATTTACCCTGCCATTTATCACGGTCTATTATTCCCTATTGTTGCCCCCGAGTAAAAAAAATACCGTCTTTCGAAGATCTTTGAAAAATCTTTCGGAAGATTATTCGCAAGATCTTTTCTGTATCCCAATTCGCTCACCGATTACGGAATCGACTCAAAAAACTTAAGTTACGGTATCGTAATTTTTCACAGGAAATTCAGATAAAAATTACGGACCGCGCGGGAAAAATTCCATGACAGTTCCGTAAAATTTCCTACAACCACATTTCGCTCTGGAATTGCAGAAAAGGTACGTAATTTCTATTGAATATTTCTCTCCGTTCAGTAATTTGAAGCCTCCGCAAGGGTCAGCCCCCCAGAATAGCACTTAAAACACCGTTTGAAGGAAGTACTCTCCCTGCCATCTCCAGTCTCCTCTTCGACAGTATCAGCAAGGTGTCGTCCGCTGGTCTCCGGTAGCACGAGGCACAAAACCCCGGTGACCAATGCCAAACTCCCGCAGATGGTGCTCGGAGCCCACCAGGCCACTGAGCCCAGCAGATCGGACACGTAAGGCGCTATTATCGTCCCAACATGAGCCATAACACAGCTGGTCCCCACCGCCGAGTTTCTGACGACTGTCGGGAATAATTCCGAGGTGTAGAGGATCACTATCCCGTACACTGCGGAGAGGGTGAACCTCCCCGTGAGCGCCACCCCCATTATCGCGGAGGTGGAGCCCTGGGGGATCCCCAGGATGCAGAGGAGGCAGACTGCCCCGAGGATGTACAGGAGAGCTCCGGCCGTGCGACGCCCCAGGAATATTAGGACTATCGAGGGGACTATGTACGCGGGGATCTCTGTGAAACCCATTATCAGAACGTAGAGATAACGGTCGTCGGTGAAATTGTCGACATTTAGGGCTGCAAACATAATTAATGGGAGAAAATCAAATTAGGGTGGGGGCGATAAATGAACTGATTTGATCATCAGTAACTTGCGATCGGCAGCCCCAAATTCAATAATTTTTTTTGCATTCTGAAGATATTTTTTTCAGCTTTAAAATGAGCCTGAACTCATCCAAATCGCATCGTTGAGCTGAGAGATATGAATTAATTAAGAGAGTGCAGTCTACGAAAGATGAAATTCGTGCGGGACAAATTATCATATAATACCGGATTGTAAACTCGAATATCTCGAAAACGGCAGGGTAAAAATTGACAACTTTTTTTTTCATTTTGAAGGGTTTTTTTCGATCTTCAAAATGAGACGTGACTCGATTGAATCGTATCATTTGTTCAGAAGATACTGATGATTTAAGGTAAGCCATTTTCTGTTAATTTCGCTTAATTATTGATTTATCAATTCATTAATTTTGTTTTGATATGACCTTGAAATAAATGAGGCTCACCTATTGCATAATACGATAAAGATGAGGTGAGCCAGGAGACGTACATGATGAGGAGTCTCTTTCTCAATTCTGAATTCGAGAATAAGATTCCCAGACTCTTCATGTTCCCACGGATGAAGTTTTTGTTCTTCTCGCCATGAATGTCGTTTTGTTTGTTATTCTGCTGATCTGGGGGGGTTGACCGGAGTGCAGGGGCTGTGGAGATCGGTCCATAGTACTTTTCGATGATTTTTTGCGCTTCGTTACGACGATTTTGCGTGATTAACCACCTGGGGGATTCAGGCATCAGCCTAAAGAGCAGAAAATCAACAGTTCATGATGAATTGCGATTGTCGATTGCAATTTTGGCTGCTGCTTGGAATTTTTATATCGAATAACATGACAAAATGACGAAGTTGAAGTAAAAATAGCAGATACCATTTTTTTATTTAAAAAATGACGGGTGAAACAAGATGTTGAAGCTATTTGAAGAAACGTTTGTATTGTGACGTCGTATTTTCATTAATATTTCACTCTAAATTGGGCAGTTACTTGGGATTTTTAAATCAAATAACATAACAAAATGGAAAAATTGAGTTAAAAAATAGTAGATGAGCTTTTTTTATTTAACCCATTGCCGCGGACGAGGCGTCCCCACTCCTGTGCCCTGCGTGAGACGGCGGTAGTGGGGATGGCGGTAGCAGGGCCGTGCGCTCGGCGCCTCGAATATAGGAGCATAAGAATTGAAATTGAATTTTTTGGATGTGTTCCAAGGGTGGTTTCACCCGGCTCGACTGACGATTTTTCTGTTTTTTAGAGGGAATTTTATCCATTTTGACATATATAATCTATAAATAATTCGTGAATGCCGTGAATATTTTCATGAAATCGCTTAGTTGAAACCTGTTATATATTAATTTACTATTTACTTGCAATCGCCGAAATTGAAATAATCCTCTCATACACGAAATAAAAAAAAAAATTTTTCGTGCGCTTACGGTCTCTAGCTTCGAGCCTGGCGTGATGAAAAGTGGGGGACCTGTTTACACACTAACATCTTTACGCCACACGCACACCGCTCTACGCGTCGCGCTGATTCGCTCTACCCCCACTCCCTTCACACCGAGACGATTCGCGACTCTTCCCTGGCAATGGGTTAAAAACGCTCTCTGAAAATGTTCAGTTTTTACATTATGAAGATGAAAAACAGTGTTACCAGATCGTGACGTCACCCCATTTAAAATTGTACAGGTTTTGGCTATAAATCGCTTTGGATGAAAAACAATCGAGATAACTTTTTTCATTTTAAGGAATGACAAAACAAGTTAAAGCCAATTGAAGAAACATCTGCATTATGACGTCGGTTTTCGTGATTAATCGTAATAAAAAAAAATACGTGGGTAAAAAATTTATACAAGATTCTATTTGAAATTTACCAAGCATGAATCACGAGTAACAGTGATCCAACTGAAATAGCCATTTGCAAACTCCTCCACTCGCGAAATTGATGGGCCAGTCCCACCAAAATAGCGGTGCCTGCTGGATATCCAGCGTTGAATGCAATTCCCAGCCACTGTCTGTGTCGACTGCCAGAGACTTCCGTCACTGATGAAATAATGAAAAAAAAAAAAAAACTGAAAATCATGGAGAGCCAGCTCTACCGTAATTCACGACAGAATGTACAATCTACAAATAGTTAAGGAGGAGTATCCAACAGCAGCTGAACTGAGCCCAGTGATCCACCTGAGTGCCATGAACCCCCAGAACCAAGGGACGACAGCACTCGCTGGTCCCGAGAGTATCTGGAGGACAATTCCGATGATGAATGTCCTTCTTCTTCCGTGCTTATCAGCGTAAACCCCGAATAGTCCGGAGCCCATTAGTTTACCGAGGGAAAATGCCATGAATGTGTTGGCTCGATCAGCAGCTCTGGTGCAGACTAAATCCCACTGTCACCAGAAGACAATTTGTGAGGTGAAATAAACCTTCTTGAAGGATCAATATCTCCTGACTCTACGACACGATTTCGAGGAGTCGAATTTCATTTCAAAGCTTAACCCATTGCCGTGGATCACGGCTCCCCACTCCCCACTGTTTTGTAGGAGTGCGCCTGCGCCGCCGTGGTTTTCTTATGGCGCACTAACACACTGGCGACCCCCCCACTTCCTTCACACCGAGACGATTCGCGACGCTCCGCCGGCAACGGGTTAAAAAAATATCTTTAAAGCCCGGATGGATCATTTTTCGAACGTTCGTAATCTAAAGTATAGAACAGTTTCCATTGGATTTTACATCACACAGGAGCCCCAAGAATTATGATTGTACGATCGAAAGAAGTAGATGAAGAACTGAACATTTTCAATGAGCGTTTTTAATAGGGAGTGCATAATTTATCATGATAAATAACGATCGGACAGCCATTAATTTAATAATTAAATTAAATTAATAAATTAAATTAATAATTTGAAATTTCCTGCCTATTGGGTTTATTTCCCAATATCCTCTTTTGATATTGACTAAAGATGAAAGAAACGTGATATTGTTTTATATCGAAATATATCGAAACTGCCTGACCGCTAATCCCCAGATCACGTTCGAAAGATAATCCACACGGGCCTTAAATTGAACAAAAGTTGTTCAATTATTGGAGATCAAAGAAGGTTCGTTTTACCTCACGTACTCACTTCTTGAACCACAGTAGATCGGCCGACGTCTCCGTAAATAAAAGCCGAACAGGAAGAGCTGGGCGGCTCATTCGATAGCCCCTCGACATACTTAACAGCCTCTTCATACCCCACTTGAGCAAGATACGTGTAATCGTAATCATACTTGGTGCACTCGCCGGCTGAAGCTATTATTCTGATTTGCTCGCTCGTCCAATTAGCTGACACCAATTCCGGAACTGAACACCAGTACGGGGGAATCTTTAATGACATGCGATCAATTAAGAATCACTCGGGACAATTAAAGTAGCTCCGGCCTTCGGCCGGGCTACGCTGAACTTTAGGATATTTTCAGTTTTGAAATTTTTCAACTAATTTGCATGGAAAAAATTTGACAAAAATTCATACCCAGTCAGTATTATCTAAATTAAATTTCGCAAAATATTGACATTTTTTCAAACATTTCCCTCTTAGAAATAAATAATAAAAGTTGGTTGCAAAACGGTGGATTATTTTTTATGAGGCGTCAAAAAAATTCTTGATTTTTTCACATCTAATGAAAAAAAATTCAGATTTTAATCTTCGATTACAATGGAAATGTTGATTTTCACATGAGACACTGGGTTAAATCCTGATTTTTAAAATAATTAAATTGAGAAAAAAATTAATTGTTTCCACTGTTAAAGTAGCTCTACCCTTCGGCCGGGCTACGCTGTACTTTTGGATATTTTCAGTTTTGAAATTTTTCAACTAATTTGCATGGAAAAAATTTGACAAAAATTCATACCCAGTCAGTATTATCTAAATTAAATTTCGCAAAATATTGACATTTTTTCAAACATTTCCCTCTTAGAAATAAATAATAAAAGTTGGTTGCAAAACGGTGGATTATTTTTTATGAGGCGTCAAAAAAATTCTTGATTTTTTCACATCTAATGAAAAAAAATTCAGATTTTAATCTTCGATTACAATGGAAATGTTGATTTTCACATGAGACACTGGGTTAAATCCTGATTTTTAAAATAATTAAATTGAGAAAAAAATTAATTGTTTCCACTGTTAAAGTAGCTCTACCCTTCGGCCGGGCTACGCTGTACTTTTGGATATTTTCAGTTTTGAAATTTTTCAACTAATTTGCATGGAAAAAATTTGACAAAAATTCATACCCAGTCAGTATTATCTAAATTAAATTTCGCAAAATACTGACATTTTTTCAAACATTTCCCTCTTAGAAATAAATAATAAAACTTGGTTGCAAAACGGTGGATTATTTTTTATGAGGCGTCAAAAAAATTCTTGATTTTTTCACATCTAATGAAAAAAAATTCAGATTTTAATCTTCGATTACAATGGAAATGTTGATTTTCACATGAGACACTGGGTTAAATCCTGATTTTTAAAATAATTAAATTGAGAAAAAAATTAATTGTTTCCACTGTTAAAGTAGCTCTACCCTTCGGCCGGGCTACGCTGTACTTTTGGATATTTTCAGTTTTGAAATTTTTCAACTAATTTGCATGGAAAAAATTTGACAAAAATTCATACCCAGTCAGTATTATCTAAATTAAATTTCGCAAAATATTGACATTTTTTCAAACATTTCCCTCTTAGAAATAAATAATAAAAGTTGGTTGCAAAACGGTGGATTATTTTTTATGAGGCGTCAAAAAAATTCTTGATTTTTTCACATCTAATGAAAAAAAATTCAGATTTTAATCTTCGATTACAATGGAAATGTTGATTTTCACATGAGACACTGGGTTAAATCCTGATTTTTTAACATTTCGTCTTTGAAAAACCAAAACGATAATTAAATTGAGAAAAAAATTAGAATTGCGAGTCTAATCGAGTTTTCTGCAATTTTTTTGCAGTTTTAAAAAATCTTTGAATTTACCGTAAGGGTAGAGCTACTTTAAATCCTTAACGGGGATAAATTAGGATCAACCTCCGTGGTGAAGACGTAGGACATGGACTGCAATCCATTCAGCACTGTTGGTGTCAGTGTCAAAGTGAAAACAAGCCACAGCAATTTCGATCCCTCTCCCAGTTTGTCGAGGGCTGTCAAGAGTTCGTCTCTCTTCTCAACTGATTCCGACATGTTCGCTCACTCGTTAATCACCGCGTTGTGATAATTTAGGTTCAACAGAAAGTTGCGATACTTTCTAATCCCTCAGGAGCAATAAACTTTGACACGCTCGGTACATTTCAATTGTTCATTTACGAGCCTGCGATTACCACCAACGCGAATGCACTACCATGTTGGGGTTTTTTTATGCCGTCTCCACTCGTTATCTCTCGGTGGCGATTGTCGTGGTTAATTCCGCGAGTTGGATTAGCTACTTCCCTGATAAGAAATTCCTTTCGTCTGTTTAGCCTTATCAGGTTGATTAATGGTTGAATACAAACGATTTCGCATGAATATTTAGCGAAAATATTTTGATATTTTGGAAAATTTAATTTTAGCTGTTCATTTTTTTCAAGAGGTTTACTAACAAGTTGTTGAATTTTTTATTTCATTTATTCCTCTGCAGATATAACAATTCTATTCATATATCAACCTCCAGAAAGGTCAGAATTAAATCGCAGGAAATTCTTTTATGACATTTATTTGACATCGCTTTCAAAATCTATAACATTTTTGCATAAATATTTGAGTATGAACAGTAACAAAAATATTTAGACATTTATGTAAGATAAATTCTAACATTAAATCACTTCATCTTGACGAGGATTATTCTCCACTGAATTCGGAAACAAGGCAAATATCATTTATGAAAATGATAAATTAAATCACAGATGACATTTAAGATGGCATTAGAAATACTGTTAAGAATCCATCTACTCAATTATCGATAATAGTCTTCGTGGTAATTGGGTTCTCTCGGCACTCGTCGCACCATCGGCACATCATAAACAAGATAGAAAAAAGCATTCGCTATGTGACCAAGTGCTCTCCACCAGGCGTTTAATTTATACCTCATCTCCTTGAGAATCGGGAGTCCAGTTCTTTTTCGCGGGGGCTCTGATATCCTATCAGTAAAGGAAAAATTGATTAAACATAAATGTTCTAGATCGTACCGTGAATTATAAACCAGTTTCTCAAAAAATGTAAAAAAAAAATTCTCAAAAAATGGAGAATGAGGGTCACGAGGGTCAAAATAAGGGTAACAAGGGTCAAATTAAAGGTCTAAGGGTCCCAAGGATCAGATTGAGGGTCAGAGTAAAAGTCTAAGTAAGGGTCAAGGGTGTGAAAAACCAAGGGCCAGAAACTAAAGGTCACAACGGTCAGATTAAGAGTCCAAATAAATCCAAATAAGGGTCATGGAGGTCACCAGGGCCATAATAAGGGCCTCTATATCTCTCTCTATGTTATAAAAATCCAAATCCACTTCTGGTGATGAAAATTTGGTACTCAAAATTAAGACTCCAAAATTAAAGGTCACAAGGGTCATAATAAGGGTCATGGGTGTCAAAATAAGGGCCATGCAAACCAGAATGAGGGTCACGAGTGTCAAAATAAGGATCATGAGTGTTAGATCAAGGGTCACAAGGGTCAGATTAAGGGTCCAAATAAGGGTAACAAGGGTCAAATGAAAGGTCTAAGGGTCCCAAGGATCAGATTAAGGGTCAGAGTGAAAGTCTAAGTAGGGGTCAAGGGTGTGAAAAACCAAGGGCCAGAAACTGAAGGTCACAACGGTCAGATTAAGGGTCCTAATAAGGGTCATGGAGGTCATCAGGGCCAGAATAAGGGTCTATATATCTCTCTAAATGATAAAAATCCAAATCCACTTTTGGTAATGAAAATTTGGTACTCAAAATTAAGGGTCACAAGGGCCAGAGTCCAAATAAGGATCAAGGGTGTCCAAAACCAAGGGCCAGCAACTAAGGGTTACCAGGGTTAAAATAAGGGTCACAAGGGTAGCAATGAGGGTCACATTGAGGATCCAAATCGACTTCTGGTGAGGAAAATTTGGTCCTCGAAATTAACTGAGGATCACAAGGGTTAGAATAAGGGTCCAAATAAAGGTCATGTAGGTCATGTGGAAATCATATACGTAAATTTTTTTATTTCGCAAATGAAAAAAATCAGGAGACAGTTGCGCTCACCCATCCACTGCCAATTGCTCTTTCGTCCGATTGGTGTACGTGTACATGTAGCAGGATGGATAACCACTGACAGTGGTGATTTCATGCAGTTTCTCCGTAGTAACTGACACCCTGTGACCCTTGTCAACAGTAATGACGTCCGAGCAATTCTCCTCGGAATATGTCACCTGACCCTCCAGAACCGTTAACGTCACGTTTGAAAAATCATTGGTGAAGTAGTTCTCCATGCTCATGCTCGGGTAATCAGCCACGAAGAGAACGTCAGTGTAATTGGACCAGGTGTACACCTCCTGGATAATCTCCTCCATCTTCTGTCTGTACGAGTTGTACTGGGTCAGGAGGGGCATCAGGAAGCTGACGGGCTTCAGTGGGTGCCAGTCGACCCTCAACATGTCGACAGTGGGATCGAACATCCTCTGCTGGAATCTGCTGTTCAGGGAACACCTGACGTCAATGTAAATACTCAGGTTTGATGACAGCCTCGACCACTCGCTGGTGTCCTTGGTTCTCCCCGCTGACCTCAGGACCTGCTGTTTCTTTCTTAACAATTGGCTTTTTAGGCACTGGCTGTATTGTATCACCATGTCAGGGTGCTTCGACCACTTTTCGTTCTGCACCCAGGCTTGGGGATCAACGAAATGATCCTCGTTGCTCTCGTTGTCGTGGACTCTCACCACTACCAGAATTGTGTCCCAGTTGTGCACCATCATGTCCCAGGAGTAGCCGTACAATCCTGACACCCAATTGTTGTAGCCTTTCGTTATGAAGTGAGAGTAGGGCAGGAAGAGCTGGAGGATTATGTGGAGAAGTAAGAACGAAACTACCATCTTCTGCTGTTTGTTAGGCCTTTTGGGCTTTGGCTTCTCCGGGGGAATTGGTCTCGGCAGCCACGCACTCACACTTTTTTTTCGAATTTCACTCGAGTTTTCGGTGTTCGAGTCGACGTTCTCACATGCTGCGAAGCTTCTTGAGGAAGTTAATGAGGGGATTATCCTCCTTGGCCAACTGACGTGACAGAACAGCCCCATCGTTGCTAGACAGACGTAGGGAAACATTCCGATGCTGAAGAGTCTTGAATTCATCAAGTGAAATGCCGCACAGAAGATCATAGCGGGGATTCTTGTTCTGTCGAAGAGCAGCCAGAAACCAACGGTGAGATCGAAGATGAAGGCGAACCAGTGGACAATGAGGAAATCAGTCTGTTCAGTTGTCATGATGAGCTTGAAGGGATCGAAGACCCAGTGCTCTGACAAATTCGTCATGGAGTAGCCTTCTAGCCACTCGCTGCTGGATTTCTTTAATCCGGCAAAGAAATACAGAAGAAAGAACTGAAACTTTAGGATGAAGTAGTTCCAGTGGGGCACTGTGGATGGTTTTCTGGATAGTCTAGAGTCCAGTGAGCAGTAGCGATTGGCGCCTGTTCCCCAGAGTAATGTCGAGACGATGCCGTAGAGGTACGAGTGATTGTTCCAGAAGCTCTTGTCGAGGATGAAAATGTACCAGTAGGGGAGGACGAAGCAGGCGCAGGAGAGCTTGAAGAGGAATCCTAGCATTATTCCGAAGGCTCCCAGCCACATCAGGGTGTAGAGGACAATCATGTGGGGTAATGAAGGCTGATTCATGGTGTGAATCAGGGGGAAGTGACAGGCGTGGGCGCCTCTCCATTTTAAATCGATGTCTGATAATCCTCGCTCCTCTACTACGTCGATCACCATGCACAGACCTGGGGAATTCCATTTTCAGTTGGAGTTTATCTTCGGAGGACTTAGCGCAAGGGCAACGACACGATCAGATCCAAATTCGTAAATCTCTTTTGATAGCTAATGATTTCAGTAGCGAAGCGGTAAACCGGGTTAAGTCGATTTTGACTTTTGGCCAATTTTTGATGAATATCTTGGAATCTAAGAGACACAGCAAAATTTTTCTTATAACCTTTTTTATAACCCTTAATTGGTTCTACAAAAAAGGTCGTGACAAAAATTTTTCTATCTCTTTTAGGTTCCGAGATATTCGTCAAAAACTAGTCAAAGGTCGAAATAGACTTAACCCGGTTTACCGCTTCGCTACTGATTTCATTGTTTAATGAACAATGAATAATTAATTGGGGCTTTTTTTGTAGCGAAGCTGCTTATATTTATTTCGCATTATTTCAATCTATTGTATTCGAGCGCGCCGTAGCAGCCGAATACCTCAGTACGTCACCTCGTGACAATTCGTAATAATTCGGACATCCTCGATCGGAGGATTCATACCGTTGTCGCGGGAGCGCACGCGTTCCAGCGCTCACGGTGTGAACCAAAGTTTCGTTTGCTGTGAATAAATTCTAATACGATATATAATAATTCCGAGGGCTATACCTTGCGAAACCCTTCGATCCTTACCGGACATCCCACATTTTTCTTTTCTTATTTCTTTACTTACCGAACAGGGCTCGAGCCACTCCGAGGCTCGCCGCGTCTGTTGGTCTGTAAAGCAACTTGACAAATCTCTCATAACTCGTTATGCTGTCCAATTCAAATCCCCAGAGGGTTGAGACACTTTGGGCTATCGATTGTTTACATGGAATTCTTGATTTCCAGGATTTTTCGGAGCTTGATTCAACTTTTTTGTTATCCATTTACGGGTAACACGGAAATGGTGAGGTGTAGCTGGAAGTTTTGGAATTATTCTGGAGTTTTCATGCATAAATACACTTTTTGAAATTTTTTATTATTTTTTCTTCCACTGAAATTTCGAGGAATTTATTCGGTGAGAAGTCACAATTTAATGGAGCAATCAATTGATCAATGGAATTGAGGCTCTCTAGTGTCCTTAAAAGTGATTCAACAGGTTCTTCCCAACTCATCATCTTTTAAACAAGCGGAGTAACAATGATATTTACCTCTTGTTATTTGACAATTTCACTGTTACCTCGTTCTCCAACTGTTGCTCTCAACACAAAATGACAGTTGATTTCTGGCGTGTGAGTGCGACAATCTGTCGGACAAGTCGATTGTAGCACGAGTGCGTCAGGGTAGTGAGGAAGCGCCGGGACTGAGGGTTGTGAAGAAAGGCGGGAGAACTTGCTGTCGCGTTGTCTGGGCAACGTACCCCTGACTATTGACCTGCGCCAGCGCAATTATATTTCATCACTGATACTTCATCTCTCGTACGTGGGACAACAAGACGCAACTTGCGGCTTTCGAGATGCTTTGGCTTTCTTTGGAGGATTTATGTTCACAAAGGGGAGGATTTTCGTCGTTTGGGGATTTTCAAATCTCCAAATATCATTGTTTATCTGGAATAAGTTTGAATAGACTCTGAATAATGACTACGCGCAGTCCTCGGGGATTCTGAATCGGTATGGATGAGACATCAATTCCAATCATTTCCATCGGGATGCACTCGACCCCTTTCTCCAAGCCCCCGTCCGGCCGATTAACGCTCTCGTCAGTACTTCAACTTGAAGCGCAAGATATTTTCGGGTAATAATGGAGAGGGAAGAAAGTGAAGTTGATCATACGTTGAGGCCTTTTTTCGCGTTGCAGCTGGGGCGTGCCTTAATGAATGGCCATCACTTTGCACTCTAATAAAAAAAGGAAAGAGAATGGAGTCCCCAACGGCCGTTTTCAGGTCAAACAATGGACTGATTTATTTCAGAGACGCCCCTCAATCTGTCTCTGTGGATCACTTCTGAACTTGGACCCACGAGTAGAGATGAAAATGCGTCACATGACCCGTCATATTACGGTCATGTGACCGTCATTGACACAATTCCCCCTCCCCCTTCTGGGATCGTCACAACTTGTCAAGAAACAATGACAGTCATTTTTCATCTATATAGAGGGAACTTTATTTTTTTCTCGGTCAATTTTCAGTTGAATTCCTTTTGTATTGATCTAATCGACATTTTGAAGTGGAAATCACGCTTTTTTTCCATCCATATAAGTGAAACTATTTTGTTTTATTCATGACCGTCACAAATTGGAAATTAGTTATGACCGTCATTATGCAACTATGGTTTGACTACAATTTGGTTACAAATGGTTTGTGACAGTGATTTGTAGTTGGAAAATTTGTGCGTCACGTGACCGTCACAAGACCGTCATTTTTTAGATCGCGTCATATGACCAAAAAATGACGGTCATTTTGCATCTCTACCCATGAGTGAGACTGGAAAATGCAGAGAATTATAGCTTTTTATTTTATTGTGACACGTAATTTCATCACTGCGACATTTCATCCACCCGAAAAATCACCCCGAAAAATAGTATATTTCGTAACGAGTGCAAAAAACATTTTTTCACGAGTTACGAACAATATTTTTCATCACAATGTGGCGGAAATTGGACTTTTAGGCACCCGGGGCGTGCCCATTAATATATTCAGTTTTTAAATTTTTCAACTAAATTGCATGGAAAAAATTCCAAAAAATTCATACCCACTCAGTATTATCTAAATTAAATTTCGCAAAATATTGATATTTTTTCAAACATTCCCCTCTTATAAATAAATAATAAAACTTGTTTGCAAAACGGTGGATTATTTTTTATGAGGTGACAAAAAAAATTCATTTTTTCACATCTAATGAAACATTTTAATCTTTGATTACAATGGAATTATTGATTTTCACATAAGACACTGGGTTGAATCCTGATTTTTAAACATTTCTTCTTTGAAAAACCAAAACGATAATTAAATTGAGAAAAAAATGAGAATTCCGAATCTAATCGAGTTTTCTGCAATTTTTTGCAGTTGTCAATAATCTTTGAATTTACCGTACGGGTAGAGCTCCAATTTCTTCAATTTTCTAAGATTAAAGATTCATATTTTTCAAATTCAAATTTTCTGAAAAAAATTGACTTTCACCCGGTTTAAAAATAAATGAAAAATCGAGTCTTTAAGCAATTGAAGAACTCTTCTCGGAACTGAATAATAAAATGAACGAAGAAGAATTTCAATTCGTTTTGAATCTTCGATCAACTCCGTGAGCACTCGGACAGTCTCGTAAGGTCGGAGTAGGTTATGTTTGACAAACTCCACGCGGTTGAGACGTGAGTGGACGTGAGCCACTGGTGCATCTTTTCCCTTCGCCTAACCAAAACAAGTGATTCATCAAGTGTTTCGTGAGTTCACAACTAGTCTTTCTAATTACACAAGGTCGGGGTAAAACGGACACTTGACTTTTTTTGAAATATTCATGACGTGTGGAATTGTCCATGAAATGGAATAATTCTATTTGTCAATTGAAAGAACAATGATTCCTCTTTGTGATGAGCTTAGACTGAGCTCAATTGATAAATCCGTTTCTGACTTATGAATATTTTTGAAAAAAATCAAGTGTCCATTTTACCCCACTCTCCCCTAATAATTTTCTTCTCAACACAAAGAACAATTCTTTCCCTTTGTGACGAGCCTAAACTGAGCTCAACCGATCAATTTGTTTGTTCAGTTATGAATAATTAAACAAAAGTCTAAAGTGTCCGTTTTACCCCACTTTTTCCAGTGTTAACTCCATTCCCCTGCAATAAATCCAGGAAATGACGAGATTCGCAAGAGCCAAGGGCTCCAAAGCCTCCAACGAGCGATTGCCAGATGAGCCCACCCCCTGGCACGTGATGAAGCAACAGTTGGAGGATTCAGTGGCTTCTAAACAAACCTCTCAATCCCAGAAGACGAAGTCTGCGAAGGAACTCTTGAAAGAACGAGACGAGCCTTTCTACTGTGATCTGGGTGCTGTCAATCACGATTGGGCGGAGTTTCAGCCAGAAAAAGTGAAACCGTCGATCAACAAACAATCTAAAGACTCCACTGGAGCCCCTGCAGGTGGGAAAAACAAGAAAAAATCTTTGGGATCGAATTTAGGAGACAATAAACTCCCAGAGGCTGCAGTCAACCCTGAAAATAGTCCCTCATCTTCGAAAAAATCAAAGAAACGAAAATCAATGATAGAATCAACTCCACAAGGACCTGCTGAGGCCTGTGATGCCCCAGGGAAAAATCAGAAAATTAATAAAGAAGAGAATAAACTCCCAGAAGGTGCAGTCAACCCTGAAAATAGTCCCTCGCCTTCGAAAAAATCAAAGAAACGAAAATCAATTCACCCCAGTGCCTCAGAAAACAATTCCCCAGAGGCAAAAAAGCCTAAAATGAATGAAGAGAAGTCACCAGCGCCCTCAGAAAAATTCAAAAATCAGAAAAAGGTGAAGTCACCAGCCCCTTCAACCCCCAAAGAGGACGAGGCCCCTGGAAACCCCAGTGTCAAGCTCAGCAAGCGTCAGAAACGAAACAGAAAGAACAGAATAACCAGCTCAGGGGATCAGTCGAAAATTCCCGAGGGTAAAGACGACGACAGAAGGGCCTCAGGTGCCTTCAACACAGCAGGAAACGAGTGGAGCACTGAGATAAAATTCGGGAGCAAGAGGAAGGACATCAGCTCCCCTGAGGACAGCAAACCCCCGGATTCAGACAGACAGCAGAATAAATTCCAGAGTAGAAACGAGAGCCAAACCCCTGGAACGAGGAATGGCTCCACCAGACTGCAGAGTAAATTCGACAATCAGAGGGTCGTGAAGAGGGGAAAGACAGCGAAGATTCGAGACGACAAGGAGCACAAGAGGAGAAAGCCCACCCCAGGCACCACGAAAGTAATAATAAATGGAATGGAGATTGAAATAGTCATGTACGACGGCTTCCCAGTGAAGAAGGAGGACGCAGAGAGGCTCCAGGAGCTGAGGAAGCAGATGGTGATGAGGGGAATTCCAAAGTCGGAGATCAATGCTGCTATGAAGCTGGAGAGGAGGAAGGCGGAGAAGGCGTTGTCGAGGGTCAGGAAGAACGTCTGCTTCCACTGCAGAAAGGCTGGGCACAATCTCTCCGATTGCCCTGAACTGGGGAAGGAGGAGGCTGCCACTGGGATATGCTTCAAGTGTGGATCCACTGAGCACACACATTTCGAGTGCAGGGTGACGAGGAAGGAGGAGTTCGGATTTGCCAAGTGCTTCATCTGCAGGGAGCAGGGACACATTGCTAAACAGTGTCCTGATAATCCTAAGGGGCTCTATCCGCGGGGAGGGGCTTGCAAAATATGTGGGGATGTCACTCATCTCAGGAAAGATTGCCCCGATCTTGCCCAGGGCAGGGAGGAGAATGCTGTCACTGTGGGGAGGATTCTGGATGAGGCTGTGGAGGATTTGGGCGGCGAGAGGAGGGGTGAGGAGAGCAGGGAGCAGAAACAGAAAGTCGTGACTTTTTGAGAATTATTTCAGAAGCGAAGCGGTAAACCGGGTTAAGGCGATTTTGACTTTTGGGCATTTTTTGACAAATATCTCGGAATCTAAGAGAGATAGCAAAATTTTGCTCATAACCTTTTTTATAACCCTCAGTTGGCTCTACAAAAAAGGTACTGACAAAAATTTTTCTATCTCTTTTAGATTCCCAGATATTCGTCATAAACTGGCCAATAGTCAAAATCGACTTAACCCGGTTTACCGCTTCGTTACTGATTTGTTAGAATGAATAATTTGGCCACTGGCTGAACGCCCTCGGGCGGTGGGTTATTGGGAGAGATTCATTTTTTGTGTATTTTTCTTACAATAAATTTCGCTGGAAATTGAAATTAAGTATTTGTCCGTTCTTTGTTATTTTAGTCTGGCAATGGCAGAAATGGGAAAGTCGTGGCTTTTGAGGAGAAGTAATGATTGTGAATGAATAAATTGTCAATTCGTCGTTATTTTATTCTTGTAATGGCAGAAATGGGAAAGTCGTGACTTTTTGATGAGAAATAATGATTATAAATGAATAAATTGTCAATTCTTCGTTATTCTACTCTGTAAATGCATTTGAATTCATTAAAATGATATTTGCTTTTTTAATTATTACATTGCTCAGTTAATTCCCTGGGAATTGAATAAGAGGGGGAGAAAAATACAGGAGAAAATTATGCGAATTGGGATTTATTGAATATTTTTAATTAGAATCATCAGAAATGAATTAATGATGTACATTTGTAATTTACACGTGTTTATGTACACAATCATCACTATTCTGAAGGGAATATTTAATTAATTGTTGCTGTACTCTGAAAATTTGTAATTATTAAAATGATAAAACCGAGGGATGATGGTTGTTAAGCTTGTACATGTCATAGTGGCTAATTTTACAGAAAAATATTCAGTCGTATTTATTGACGGAGTGGATTTTCTGAAAACCTTTGGTCAATTTCCTCGGAATCAATTTATACGTTTAATATATCAATCAATATATATTTCTACTCTCTCAACATCAGAAATCAATAGTCGATCATTTATTCATAATTATTACAATGTTACCATAAAATATGCTCGTAATATTCCAGGATTATTTTCATTCGCGTATCGAATGGACTGCAGATGTACATTAAACTCAAATAACTGTGACTTCAACACAATCAATTTTACCATCATATTCACTTGCTGACAACAGTCAATCGATTCAGCAATTAATTCTCCAATTATGCTCACTCAAACTGAAGGTTGTACACTCTAAAAAACATAACTGCTGTCTGAATTCCTTGCCAAGCTCCTCATACCCAGAAAAATAATTATTTTACACAAACAAAGACTCATCTGTCTTCACGTCTCTCGAATAAATATCCTGCTAGGTGGTGGCTTCAGCCTCGTAGGCTGACTCGATTATCTCCTTCAGGCAGCGCCCAAACTCCTCGATTATCAGTCTCTGTGATGTGTCTTCGTCCAGCATACTTCGCTCAGCATCTTCAGCCTGGGCCATCAGACATTGGCAAGTCATCTCCACAACTTTATCGGTCAAGAAATTAAATGGTTGTCTGTAAGAGAGAGAACAAAATTCTTTGAGACTAATTCAAGCAGTTGAATAGAATTTTTTCAATGCAAAAATGAAATTATTCAATTCTCCATACATTTTTTTAGAACAAATTATTTAATAATCAATTTAAATTGTCAAATTAATTAATTTTTCTAATAAATCTCTTTAAAGATTTTGGAACAAATAAATTTCCTGTTTTATCAAAGAAAAAACCTTGAATAATTCTCCATAAAAATACAATTCATCGAATAAAACAAGAATATCATTTTTTTAGTGCATAAAAAGTAATTTGTTGACTAAAAAAAACTGTTAATAATTTTTCCACCCAAAAAAAAAATACATAGGAGGGTTGGGGTAAAACGGCCACTTTTGACTTTCTTTAAAATGTTAATGAGGGGTTGAAATGTTCATGAAATATAATAATTTCCTGTTTTATCAAAGAAAAAAACCTTGAATAATTCTCCATAAAAATACAATTCATCGAATAAAACAAGAATATCATTTTTTTAGTGCATAAAAAGCAATTTGTTGACTAAAAAAAACTGTTAATAATTTTTCCACCCAAAAAAAAGTACATAGGGGAGCTTGGGGTAAAACGGCCACTTTTGACTTTTTTAAAAATGTTAATGAGGGTTTGAAATGTTGATGAAATTTAACATTTTTTTTGCAACACAAAGAACAATTCTTTCCCTTTGTGACGAGCCTAAACTGATCTCGATTGATAAATTCGTTTCTGAGTTGTGAATGATTTAAAAAAAGTCTAAAGTGTCCATTTTGCCCCACCCTCCCCCAAACGATGGCAATTACCTGGGGCCTGTGTTAGAGGTAGCAGGAGGTCGGAATGTCATAGCTGAGAACTGTTGTGTCTTAGATTTATTCAACATGAGCTGAGTCGTCCTGACTTCAGCGGCATCAGCGAGATCCTTCAGTGATTTTTTCTCAATAGTCGGCTCCTCAACATTCCTGCAGCCAATGCATTTGCAGTTCGCTGAGCAAGGGATCTTAGCCTGGACAAGTCAACCCCAAAGATGAGTTATTTTTCTTCCACGAGTAAAAAATATTCCCCAAACATTTCACTTGAATCCTCACCTCGTAACACTCGCAGTAATTCTTCAGGCACCCACTGCGTTTGCAGTTGCATCCCTTGTTGTGTCTTCGTATATCATCCCCAGTCTCCCTTCCCTTGCCAATTTTCGGACGAAAGGCGTTGGGATTGCGCTCGAGACACGTCTTGATGGCCCTCTGTCTCTCCTCCTCGTTCCCCAGATTATTGGAACAATTATTGCAGTTACACATGTGACAGAATTCACCGTTAGCAAAGCAGTCGCAGTATCTAAAAACAAACATGATTGTTCTTTTGTGGAGAAAAACGCTCTAGAAGATGACGGACCCTCTTTTGTTTCGAGTATGGAAGCCTCAACCTATCCCCCCCCCCCCTAATTCTTCTCTCTCGATCGACGAAACAAGTGAATGAAATTTTCAAAAAATAGAATGATAAAATGTGGTGCAGAACTTACAGTTTGAGACACTGGGATTTTGTACAGTTGCAGGGCTTTCTGGGTCGAATCCCATTGGCTTCAGCTGCTGCACTACTCTTTTGTGAACCCTTTGGAGTCGGTGGATCTGCTGATGAGCTTGATAAATTTCCACTGGTGCTTTGGGAACTGCTGAGGAGAGTTGGGGTGGAGGGAGTGGACTTGGGTTTCGGTTCTTCAGTTTGCTGGTGGAAAATTCAAATGAAATAATTAGAATTCTGAATAATATGATTTAATTATGCATAAAAATTAATATTAATTTACAACGTCGATTAATTGATTGGGTTATCAGCTAAAATTGAATTGAAGAATTCAAAAAATCATTGAACTGTTCCCAAGCCCTCACAAATATTTAAAAAACTCATGTAATTGATCAATTCATGAATTAATTTCGTTCTATGAATTTATTGAATTGGATGAGTTGAAAAATTGAGCAAAATCACAAAACTATTCGAAAATCCTCAAAGCAGTGATGAATTATTGTCTCAATTAATTTTATTTTAGTTGTTTGTTGAACGAATGAATCAAAAAAATGATTAGGAACTGAAGGGAGTGATTTGTTCGATTACCTGTTGAATGTATTGCGCAGGGAGGACCACAATATTCCCGACATTGGAATTAGTGGAAATAACAGCCTGTCCAGATGCCAGTTGACTGAGCGCTGATGCAGGAATGGCCACAGCATTTTTCGTCTGGCCCCCAGTAGTAGTTGGCGCTGGTATCAGCAGTCTCTGGTTCCCCCCAGAGACAGTGGTCTTGGGGGCAACTGTCCTCAAGGGTTGATTCGTGGCGGTGTTCAGGGGAACGACCTTGACGATCTGCTGCTGTCCCCCGATCTTCTGCGTGACCCCCATCGCCTGGATCGTCTGGGGCTTGGGCTTGCCCACAGTCATGACATTGGTAGTGGGTGAAGAGGCTGTACTCACCAGTCTCACGTACTGCACTTGTCTCCCCGGCATTTGTATTGGATGCCCTGGTATTCTTATCACCTGGCCACCACCCAGAACAGTTCCAGGCTTCAATGCACTCTAAGAACAAGAACGAAAAGGGAATAATTTTGAAATACTATTCCAAATGGTTCAGTACGATGAAATACTATTTGAAATGTATATTTCAAGTTGACTATTTTGGGCGATCAAATAGTATTTTTTTATATGTTTTTTTGAAATTGAAATAAAATAGGTATTTGATATTTCATTTCAATGAAACAAAAAATTAAATAGTATTTACTATTTTATTTCACTATTTCACTATTTAATTTTACATGAAATAGTTTTTTCTATCCCTTATCATCTTCATTGACTTCTCGCTGTCACAAAATCGCAGAACTGGCCACTATTTTATGAAAATCAAACAGAAATACTATTCTAAATGGTTCAGTACGATGAAATACTATTTGAAATATATTTTTCAAGTTGACTATTTTGGTCGATCAAATAGTATTTTTTTATATGTCTTTTTGAAATTTAAATAAAATAGTCATTTGATATTTCATTTCAACGAAACAGAAAATGAAATATTATTTACTATTTTATTTCACTATTTCACTATTTGATTTTACATGAAATAGTTTTTTTCCTACAAATATTTCCCTTTTCTACCCTTTATCACCTTCATTGACTTCTCGCTGTCACAAAATCGCAGAACTGGCCACTATTTTATGAAAATCAAACAGAAATACTATTCTAAATGGTTCAGTACGATGAAATACTATTTGAAATATATTTTTCAAGTTGACTATTTTGGTCGATCAAATAGTATTTTTTTATATGTTTTTTTGAAATTGAAATAAAATAGGTATTTGATATTTCATTTCAATGAAACAAAAAATGAAATAGTATTTACTATTTTATTTCACTATTTCACTATTTGATTTTACACAAAATAGTTTTTTTCCTACAAATATTTCCCTTTTCTACCCTTTATCATCTTCATTGACTTCCCGCTGTCACAAAATCGCAGAACTGGCCACTATTTTATGAAAATCAAACAGAAATACTATTTTAAATGGTTCAGTACGATGAAATACTATTTGAAATATATTTTTCAAGTTGACTATTTTGGTCGATCAAATAGTATTTTTTTATATGTTTTTTTGAAATTGAAATAAAATAGGTATTTGATATTTCATTTCAATGAAACAAAAAATGAAATAGTATTTACTATTTTATTTCACTATTTCACTATTTGATTTTACACAAAATAGTTTTTTTCCTACAAATATTTCCCTTTTCTACCCTTTATCATCTTCATTGACTTCTCGCTGTCACAAAATCGCAGAACTGGCCACTATTTTATGAAAATCAAACAGAAATACTATTCTAAATGGTTCAGTACGATGAAATACTATTTGAAATATATTTTTCAAGTTGACTATTTTGGTCGATCAAATAGTATTTTTTTATATGTCTTTTTGAAATTTAAATAAAATAGTCATTTGATATTTCATTTCAACGAAACAGAAAATGAAATAGTATTTACTATTTTATTTCACTATTTCACTATTTAATTTTACACAAAATATTTTTTTTCCTACTAATATTTCCCTTTTCTACCCTTTATCATCTTCATTGACTTCCCGCTGTCACAAAATCGCAGAACTGGCCACTATTTTATGAAAATCAAACAGAAATACTATTTGAAATATATATTTCAAGTCGACTATTTTGGTCGATCAAATAGTATTTACTTATCTCCTTTTGAAATCGAAATAAAATAGTTATTTGATCGAATGATTCAACAACTACTTCAAAGTTCCCACATTTCATCAGTTGACAACAGAAATAATTGTCAAATAGTATCCACCTCAGTCCAACTATTCCATACTATTCTACTTGCGACGTTCATTGCTTCCAAAATAGAACTCAGTCATAACCATTTGAAACCGTATTTCAAACCGTATTTTGTCGACTCAAATCTCCCTTCGAACCCCGCAAAAGCCTCGAAAATGAAACATCCTGAGACCTCACTCAGTCAATCTCGTCCAATTCCGTCGAACGCCCCTGAATCTTCCCTCACCCCAAAAAAAAATAACCCATCCTTTACCTGTCTGATGATGACCTTCTGTGGGCTGGTCTGCACCGCGCTCTTCCCAGTGTTCGTGAAAGTCACCTGCGAATTGGGAATGCTCGTCTGTCGCACCTGCGTGGTAACCGTGGGTGCAGGGAGGATCTTGGCAGGTGATTTAACCGATGTCGTGGGTATCAGGGTCAATTTTGGTGGCTGTGAGGTCGATGTCTGGACGACCAGGCCGGATTTATTGAGTAGAATCCCCTGCTGCTTCTGGGCCCCCGAGGGTAGGATCTGCTGCACCTTGTTGCCCGCAGAGATGAGGCCCATCTGCTGGGCCTGGGCAAAAGTGATTGTCTTGGCAGCGTTGTTGAGCCCCTGGGCATTGGATGTCGTCAGGAACTTGATGGTCTGTGACTGCGGTGTGTCCTGACTCTGGGCCAGGATCACCTCCTGGCCAGGCTGCGACTGACTTCCAGACAGAAACATCTTCGTGATGACGTTCCTGCCCTGGTGGATCACCTGGGTCGGTCTCTTGGCTGTCGTCTGGGCATTCTTCGCTCCCTGAATGTTACTGACTGTGATATTAGCTGCTTGACTGGTCGCCACGAGGGGCTTCCCCGTCTGGGCTGATCTCAGGTGAACTATGTTCCCATCAGCCGACTTGGCAGTGATTATGGACTGCGCTAGGCTCTGTATCTGCCCTCGGGAGGCTGTCGCTGGGTGGGAGATCTTCAGGATCTGACTCGTACCTGAACCCCCAGCTGGGGACACTATCATTATCGATTGGCTCTGCGTCGGCTGGACTGCGTTGGGCTTCACCTGAACTGCTGATATTGGCACTCGCTGGAGGGTCGGCTTCGTCTGGAACACCAGGTTCTGGCTAGGCTGCGGCGAGGGGCTGTAGATTATCTGATCACTCTGGACTTCCTCCGATAAATCCGCCATCTCCACGTCTGGGGCTATCGTCTGGTTGTCCTCCGGTCGCTCGATTATTATCTCCTCTGTTGTCATCACCTCCTCGTTCATGCACTCCAGGTCTGCCTCGATGCTCACGAAACTCTCGAGCTCGGAGGCGGAGTAGTGGTCGGTGCTGTTTGCTAGGGTCAGGGCTGACAGCTCGTTGTCGGCTAGGGTCAGCGGCTCGACTAGGGCTCGCGGCCCTGGCGATTTGTTCGAAGACATTCTGCGAGATCTTCACTTGCTGGAATTTTCAGGGTTTGAGTTTTGCGGATTTTGGGGGGCGAGGGTTAGGGAGGGCTTTTCGATGATTCAGCTTGGTCAATTTGGAGTTTTTGGTTGGGGAAGTGGAATCGCTCTGGAATTCATAATTATTTATCCGCCAGGGATGAAAATGGTAATTGCGAAAACCGAAAGGAAGAGTGTTTTTGCGTTGGCCTTCTTAAACGAAAGCTTTTTCATAATTTCATTTGTCGGTGATATTTTTTGAATGGAATTTCTCGGACGGTTAAAGGGGCGGGACCTTGTTAAAAAAAAAGCCAGTTATTTTTTCATAATTCAACTTGTTGTTAATATTTTTTGAATGAAATGTTGACAGCAAATTAATTGGAGAATTAATAATCGCAAAAAAAATTCTCCAATATTTTCTAAAACAAAAAAAGAGGAATTGAAATGTTTTCAAAATAATAACCTTGTTCATCACGAGTGAATAACATTCATATAAATTACTTTCTCCTCAATGTTTTTACTGAATGGAATATCCCGGAGGAACAACTAAACAAAAAAGTTTGAATTCCCTCATGAATAGAACCCCATCCACTCGATCCTAAAAATCTCCGAATATAAATGGAGTCATTCATTGGGCCTGAATTTAAAAATTCAAATATTGAAAACTATTAACCCCCTTAAACCCCTAAAAATATTTCCCAAGTTCTAAAAACGACAATTTCAAATACCAAAAGAAAAAATGAATATTTTTGAATTAACCTTGTTAAAAAACCCAGTTATTTATCCATAATTCAACTTGTTGTTAATATTTTTTGAATGAAATGTTGACAGCAAATTAATTGGAGAATTAATAATCGCAAAAAAAATTCTCCAATATTTTCTAAAACAAAAAAAGAGGAATTGAAATATTTTCAAAATAATAACCTTGTTCATCACGAGTGAATAACATTCATATAAATTACTTTCTCCTCAATGTTTTTACTGAATGGAATATCCCGGAGGAACAACTAAACAAAAAAGTTTGAATTCCCTCATGAATAGAACCCCATCCACTCGATCCTAAAAATCTCCGAATATAAATGGAGTCATTCATTGGGCCTGAATTTAAAAATTCAAATATTGAAAACTATTAACCCCCTTAAACCCCTAAAAATATTTCCCAAGTTCTAAAAACGACAATTTCAAATACCAAAAGAAAAAATGAATATTTTTGAATTAACCTTGTTAAAAAACCCAGTTATTTATCCATAATTCAACTTGTTGTTAATATTTTTTGAATGAAATGTTGACAGCAAATTAATTGGAGAATTAATAATCGCAAAAAAAATTCTCCAATATTTTCTAAAACAAAAAAAGAGGAATTGAAATATTTTCAAAATAATAACCTTGTTCATCACGAGTGAATAACATTCATATAAATTACTTTCTCCTCAATGTTTTTACTGAATGGAATATCCCGGAGGAACAACTAAACAAAAAAGTTTGAATTCCCTCATGAATAGAACCCCATCCACTCGATCCTAAAAATCTCCGAATATAAATGGAGTCATTCATTGGGCCTGAATTTAAAAATTCAAAAATTCAAATACTGAAAAGTCTAATCCCCCCAAAACCCCCAAAAACTGACCCCCGAGTGCTAAAAATCCCGCGTCCAAAGGAAACGTACCTCCACCAGGCAAAACCCCCCGGGAGCCCCCGAAAACCCTCGGAATTGAGGAAAATTCGGAGCGTATAATCCACGACGTGGGACATTAGCGCCATTTATTGCTCGAACGCGCCATTTTCCGTAAACCAAAATTGGATAAACAATATTGTCGCTCGCGGGCACCGCAGGTCCCCGAAAGGCCCCCAGACCACGAGCACGAGCTTCAGAGCAAGCGAGGGCCCCGCGAGCCGCGTTTTTCCCCACTTTAAACCGAAAAAATCGACAGAACGAAGAGTTAACCTAGAATTCTGCCGTTCGTACGGGCTCCGGAGAGCGGAGGGAGGGGGCGTCGGTCTTAATTCATCGTTTGCACTCCCTCCGCCCCCAGGAATTCGCGATCAACAGTCGCGAAGTCTCCGGGTAAACAACTTCACTCGTTTATCACCGGACAAGGGATAAATCGAACATACCTTGTTGCAGCCTCGAAACCTCGATTTTGTTCAAAATCACGCGCCCACCATTGCTGTCCCACTGTGCACTGCGCGCCACTGGTGTATAAACATACCTAAAAACCTCGTAATAACGTACAGAACGTCCGGAATCACTCGGGAAAGCACCGCCACCAGTTCTCTGACTCCCCCCGGGGAACTTCCGCCGAAAAGCCGGTATTTCTGCCGAGGGAAATTTGATTACGAGGGAGTTGCCGAGGATTGACCCCGCGCACTTTGTAAATTTTCGATTTTCGCCATATTTCACCCTCTCCGCGGCTAAAAACACGTCAGCCTATTACCGCCCTCTGGGAGGAGCAATGGCAACGGTCAAACAGTCGGGGTTGCCAGGTGTCCAAAGCCAAGTCCGGCGGTGTCGCCAAAAATCGACGATTTTTAGACTATCAGCGGTAATGAAGGGTGCGTTTTTAACCCTATACCCGAGTGGAAATTCTGTTCAGGTCTTGATCAGAAACTCATCAAGTCCGATCCGAAATTCTGATCAGGCGTGTTACGCCTCTGCCTTAGGTTTTTCCACTAGGGTAGGTTTTTCCACTAGGGTTTCTCCGCCTTCCATCATTAGGCATTAATTAAATTTATTTTTTTGAGAGAAAAAATTAGTAACTTCCTAGCCGGGAATCGAACCCGGGACCTTCCAATGTTGCGTCGGGTGCTCTTACCATCTGAGCTACCAGGACACTTACGAATTTCACTCTCAAATTGACTCATACCCGAGTGGAAATTCTGTTCAGGTCTTGATCAGAAATTGATCAAGTCCGATCCGAAATCCTGATCAGGCGTGTTACGCCTCTGCCTTAGGGTTTTCCACTAGGGTAATCTCTGTTTTTAAGGTAACTAGACCTGTGCGCGCGCTGGTCTATTCATTTGTTGAAATGAAGAAATGGAATTCATTAAATTTAATTTTCTCATGAATACCTTATAAATATTGATAATGAATCAAAGAGAATTCGACTAATGATTGAAGTGAATAGCGAAGTAGAGTAAAAGAATCTATAAAGAATTTTTCATTTTCAATTAATTATCTTCAATTTTTAAAATCATCGGTCTCCATAAAAGGACAGAATTTATTAATTTCACTGATGATAAATCAGGGGAGGGTTGTGAATTGATTTTCTAGAGGACTGAAAAAATTTCTTGAATTCTTCGGAAAATTTCACAGCTTTCCAGATCATCGTAGATCAGATTTTTCTCCAATTATTTGGGAAACCGAAGAATTTTCGTGAATTTTGAAAGTTTAGAATTTACGTATGAAAATCTGAGAAGCAAGAATTGATCATTTTAGCGTATAATAAATATGAAAAAATTAAAATTTGGGAAGTGAAGAATAATTTGTGAGTTACAAAAATTTAGAAATACTGTTTTTTCTTATCATGATCAACAATTAGGCAATTTAGATATATTTTGATATAAAGAAAAACTTCACGCATGAAAAAATGATAAATATGACGCAGAAAAAAATTTTGGCATTTGAAAAATTTGAAAATACCGGGGATTTTTTCAGCGACTACTTCACGTGACTCATTGACCAATAGTGATTTTGCTCGTTCTATGTCGACATAAAATCGTAAATTTCAACCAATGACAGTCCTGGAATCGAATACTCAACTGGGATTGGTTGAAATTTATGATTTTACGAACGACATTCACAGGGAAAACAATAATTACTGGGGATTGTTGAGAATTTCGGGGTGACAACGACCCGAGAGCTCTCTTCGATCAACAAGTGAGGATTTTTTATTTTAGATAATAGTCAGCCTTTCTGGTGTTTCTCGTCGAATAAGTGATTTTTGTTGTCGAAAGAGGGGCGAAGGAGGGGAAAAACAAAAACGTTGTGTACAGCTGAGACAGTCATTCAAAGATGGTGACTGTGGGCTACGTGCGTCAACAACTCACGAGTTTGGCACATTCCGGCGGTTCCCACAAGGAACAGGCCGACAAGTAAGAGGGAACTTGATTTATTCGACTAGTTTAATTCCTGGTTATTAATTTTCTGGGGTGACTGCAGGTACCGAGCCATTCTGGATGAGATCCTCTCGTCCTCTGGGGATGAGCTCGTTGACACACTGAAGATCTTCATCGAAGCTAGTGAGTAAACGCGGGAATTTATTTTGGTTTTTCCTCCACGATTGGGGAATTTGGTGATAGTCTTGAGGGGAAAATCGAAGTGTCAGTTTTTCAAGCACATAACCTTGAATTCGTGTTTTGTCATCAGTTGTCAACGAAAATGTGAGTCTTGTGATATCGAGGCAGGTCCTGACGGACGTCAGCAATCGACTCCTACATCTCCCGGATGAAATATCAAAAGCTGTTTCACATTACACGTTAGACAAGGTGAGAATGTGGGGGAGAACGAGAAATAATGAACTTAATCGGCAATATCTTCTGAATGAATGAGGCGATTTTGATGGGTCAGGCCTCATTTCGAAGCCTGAAAAAGGAGCTTCAGAATGAAACGAAAATTTGCGAATTTCACTCTGCCAAACCCGAGATATTCAGGTTTTAAATTGAGTCGTTTTATGATAATTTTGTAGAACGAATCTTGTTGAGTCATGAATATCTCCTGACTCAGCGATGCGATTTCCGCGAGTCAGGGCTCATTTTAAAGCCTGAAAAAATACCTTTGAAATGAGCTAAAAATCGTTGAATTTCACTCTGCCAATCTCGACATATTGATGATTAAACAGCCCTTCACTCCTAACCGAATAGAATAAAATAAATTGATGTGAAAAAAATTGATTGCCAAAAAAAATCTCCCATTTAGGTTCAACCTAGAGTAATTTCCTTCGAAGAGCAAGTAGCCAGTATCAGGCAGCACCTGGCAGACATCTACGAGAGAAACCAGAACTGGCGAGAAGCTGCGAACGTTCTCGTGGGCATCCCCTTGGAGACTGGCCAGAAGCAGTACACAGTTGACTACAAGCTCGAGACCTACCTCAAGATCGCCAGACTCTACCTCGAGGACGACGATCCTGTCCAGGCGGAGGCCTTCATCAATCGGGCCTCATTGCTTCAAGCAGAGTCCAAGAATGAACAGCTCCAAATTTACTACAAAGTCTGCTACGCCAGGGTCTTGGATTACAGGAGAAAGTTCATCGAGGCTGCCCAGAGATACAACGAATTGTCTTACAGATCGATTATTCATGAGGATGAACGCATGACTGCCCTGAGAAATGCTCTGATCTGTACTATTCTTGCTTCAGCTGGTAAATATGATAAAATCATGGCTTTCGTAATCCAAAATTGTCAATTGAGTGGTACATCACGTAGAAATTCCAAAAAATTAGGATAGAATGATAGAAAAATGGTAAAAATTGCAGCGTTTTAGTCATTTTATATTTATAAAATGACTAAAACGCTGCAAATTTCCTATCGTTTAAATTCGGGTCAACAGGACAACAAAGAAGCAGAATGTTGGCTACCCTCTTCAAGGACGAGCGTTGCCAGCAGCTCCCAGCCTACGCAATCCTGGAGAAGATGTACCTAGACCGTATAATCCGTCGTTCAGAGCTCCAGGAGTTCGAGGCACTGCTGCAGCCCCACCAGAAAGCCTGCACAACCGATGGTCTGGGCTCCACCATCCTCGATCGAGCAGTGATCGAGCACAATCTCCTCTCGGCCAGTAAATTATACAATAACATAACTTTCGAGGAGTTGGGAGCACTTCTGGAGATTCCCCCCATGAAGGCCGAGAAAATTGCCAGCCAGATGATCACAGAGGGTCGAATGAACGGATACATCGATCAGATCGATTCCATCGTTCATTTTGAAAGTGAGAATTGAATTTACATTCGTTAAAGTAGCTCTATCTAAAATTTATATCTAAAATTTATACCTCAAAACATCTGAGGATTTGACCGACTAAATAGCCCATTTGGCTCTTCCATTATAATTATCGTAATGTTTTATTCCAGCTCGTGAGATTCTCCCCACCTGGGACAAGCAGATCCAGTCCCTGTGCTACCAAGTCAACCAAATAATCGAAAAAATTGCTCAAACCCAGCCCGACTGGATAGCAAAAGCCATGGAGAACCAGATGGTCCATTAACGCAGGTACAACAATGTCAAAAAATCTCCCTACTCATCTCAAATTTTCAAATAACCCTGGCATTACCGATTTAACCAACAATTGCATTACTTTTCCCCCCGAAAATTTCAAACTCGGCTTGAGGACAAAATCAGTTGTCATCGCAAAAACCACGTGTTCTTTTTTATGTAAATAAATGAAAGATTTACCATAAACCGTGTTCTCATACGTTTATTGCATCAGATCCCACAGTCCGAATACAATCAAATGCGTTATCTACTTTTTTTGTATTTTCGTCAAGATATTTTGTTACAAAATGAAGCTGGGCTGGTGTCAATGAGAGAAACGGAGGAAAGCATATCTACAAGAATACAAATTCAACAAGGGATAGTCATTAGCCGCTTTATTATATTCATTTTTAATAGTTTCTCGACGTTTAAACTCTCCAAACTCTAAACTAAACGAGGAAAAGTGCTCAATCGGAAAGAAAAATTGGGGATACATTAACGAGAGATCATCAACGATCATATTTAGTCGATAGAACGTTTATCGTCGACTTCAAGCCACCTTCTGCCATCTAATTACCCTATTCATTGTTCTCTTGTAAATTCATCTTCAATGTTTAGCGCTCATGTTTCTCAACGTGATTCTGCGAGGCTCCCGTGAAAATCGGGTGTAATTCTATCTAATACGTTTACAGGTTCAACTCGAAACCCAGGTGCGCAAATTTTAAACGTGTTGTCAAGTTTTCTTTCATCTTTATTCAATTCATTCATCAGCGACACCAGAGTTGCGATATTTTAACTCGAGTGGGACAGAATTTACTGAGTTTTTTCAGTTTATTATTGTTAATGATGATTTTGTTGGGGTTTTTGGGGCTCTTAGGCCTCGAGGTCGAGGGCGACACCGATTTTGTGGCCACCGGAACCGAAATTCTTGCCGTCGATGTTCGTTGAGAGACTCAGAGTGACTCCTGAAAGAATAACAAACATACAGAGATAATTTAAATAAATGAATGCCTCGAATAATTTGAATATGAGTGAACAATTGCTCTTTATTTTGAAGATTTAAAATGACTGAAGTGGGATTCAAATGAGATTTGACTTATTAAAAAATTGAAATTTCAGATTTCGGAGATAATTCAATGAAATTCAAATTTTTAAACAGCAGAGCAAAAAGAAAACCCAAATTTTTTGTAAAGATTAATATTCAGTTTGAAATGTCGGTAAATTTTCGATCAATTGAACATGAAAAAAAATATTTTCCTGATTTCTACCAATTTTCATTGAGAATTAAATTAAAATTCACAGTCTCCATTGACACTAACGAAATTCCAATGAAATTGTGACGTGGTAAATATTCAAGACGAGTGCAGCGAAATTTTTTACGAGTCTATGTGCGATTTAAGAAATCCCATTTTGCCTCACCCCAACTTTGTCGTCAGGCCTTAATCTTAATTTAGAGAGGCACGCGACTGATAAAAATAGATTCACTTTTTGCATGAATGTCTGGCACTCTAGACACGTTACTCAACCCCAAACCCAGAATATAAATCATTTTTTCCTTCAATTCAATAATGAAGTCCTCTTTAAAAAAATTGGCGAAACGTTTTCTGTCACCGATACATTCCGCCGATAGAATTCTAATCCTTCTATTATTCTATTCCTTCATCTCATTCAATTTTTCAAAAATATACGTTTACACAATTTTTTTAATTTAAATTTTTTGTGCAAAATTCAGTATGTAAAATATATTTCATCTCCCATATGAAAAAAAATTGTATATTATATATTATTATATTATCTCAGGGATGCTCCTTATGTTTTTCAAAGTTTAACTATATTAAACAAATTAAAAATATAAAATTTAATAACTAGTTGATGGCGAATAAAATATTTGATAATATTGAAATGTAATTTTTCGTTAACAAGATAATTCCAAATTTGAGGACTTGATTTTTGATTATCCAAATAATCGTCAGTCTTCCTACCTAAATTATTGCTCAACAGAATATTTTAAAATTTGAATGTGCAAATCAATGGTCAATTTAATATTAATAATTTTCAAGATTGATGTTAAAAATTGACAACTCCACAATTTAACGGTAATTATGATTGATGAAAATACCTATCACTGTATTATCCATAATTTTTTTTGATACTACGTTATATATTATTTTCTCAATTCTCAATTTCAAAAAATTTGCTAATTCCAAATTTGAGGACTTGATTTTCGATTATCCAAATAATCGTCAGTCTTCCTACCTAAATTATTGCTCAACATAATATTTTAAAATTTGAATGTGCAAATCAATGGTCAATTTAATATTAATAATTTTCAAGATTGATGTTAAAAATTGACAACTCCACAATTTAACGGTAATTATGATTGATGAAAATACCTATCACTGTATTATCCATAATTTTTTTCGATACTACGTTATATATTATTTTCTCAATTCTCAATTTCAAAAAATTTGCTAATTCCAAATTTGAGGACTAGATTTTCGATTATCCAAATAATCGTCAGCCTTCCTACCTAAATTATTGNAACTTTCATGAAAAAAAAATGAGAAAAAATTAATTATCGTCCTCCATTGACTCACCATCACGCAGCTTCTGCTGATACCCCAATCCAATCTGCAGCTGAGAGTTGACCTTGGCTCTGACTGACGCAGCATTATCGAGATTGTACTTGGCGCCAAGAGCAAACTGCGTTGCGTTGTTTCCAGAGTTCCACGCGATATTGACAGCCCCCTCTAGACCAGGCTTCACCAGGTGGTAGATCGATCCGTTGAACTCACGGCCATTGTCCCTAAAAATTCACTCATGCATTCAGCACTCCGAATAGGGAACTTGCATGAACCCCAATTTTTTCTAATTCGCCTATTCACAGATTCCTCGTAGCAAATGAATATCTAGACGACAACAATTATGGAGAAATATTGCCCAGACGTTTTATGATAATTCGGTCGAAATCTTCAACTTTTGACGATTAATTATTAATTAATGAGCAATATTTCGAATGTGTCAATGAAAAATCAATTATTCATCAATATTAAATTGAAAAAAATTCGTGCAAGTTCCTTATTAATTCTATTCTACGTTTTTGGCCGTCCAACTTCGAGGTTTTACGAGCCGAAGTTCCTTATTAATTGTGGAAAAAGAAGTTAATGAGCTTACACTGAGGTGTGAACACCAAAGTCCTTGGCTGTGAAGCCAAGAGCGAAATTGTTCTTGGTTATTTTGCTCCTCTGGGAGTCGAAAGACGTCTGGTAACCCGCCAGCCATCCTGGGGAGAATGAACAAAAGTTTTTCGTGTTTTACTCTCGAACAATTCCGCAAGAAAATTATGAGAATTGGAGAGATGGGATTACCTTGGTATCCAACGACAGCAGTTGTGTGAATCAATGGTCCACTGTTGAGACTGAGATCGAAGTCAGCTGTTGCTGATACATTTTCGTGTTTATATGTTGTCTTCAATTTACCAGTCTTACTTCTGCAATAACGGAAATCCAAATGATTGAATATTGTCTTTTCTATTGTTAAATTGATGAAAATAATTGCTTCAAATGAAAATTTACTCAATTTTCCTGCTACAACGTGAATTAATTCTTCGGAAATTGAACGAAACATCAAATTTTAATTACATATAGCAAAAAAATTCTAATTTGTCATCAAAATATGGCTGTACTATCTTTCGAATTTTATCTGGATTTTTTCATCTTTCGTAATCCAAAATTGTCAATTGAGTGGTACATCATGTAGAAATTCCCAAAAATTATGATAGAATGATAAAAAAAATAGAAAAAATTCTGAACTTCTTCAAAGAGCGTTTTTAATTGAGATTCAAAGTGAGTTGAAAAAAGTGGAAATTACAAATATCTGATTCGCTGTGGCAAATTATCTATTAGCTGTCATTTTCCATGGTGAATAAAAAAACACTAACTCCTCATGGGAAGTGACAGCTAGGTATCTCAATTTTCAAAACAGTGGTATGTAGTCGTCTGCCATTTATATGTGATAAAAGTGTGATTAAAAAATTCTCCAAAATATTACAACTTTTTTCAAAGAGCCTTTTCCGCAATAAATGTCTCTGTGCAGTGTGGGAAAAGATTTACGAAATCAGTCTTCCCCCTGCATGCTATTGGTTGACAGGCCGCCATTTGTCACCCTAAATCAGCAACATTTTTCAATTTCTTGTTATTCAACTTATTCTGAATATAAACGAAAAATGCTCTTTGAAAAAATTAAGAATTTCTTCTACTTTTTTTGCTTATTCATTCATAATTTGTCAAAACTTCTGCACGATGCAGGACTCAATTGACAATTTCAGATGACGAAAGATGAAAAAAAACATCGAGATAAAGTTCGAAAGAGTGTGTCCACCCGGGGCTTAAAACGAGAAACTGAGAATTGTGAAGCAAAGCCTGGAAAAACGAATTTTACCCAGTCTGGGGAGAGAATGTACAGCTGTATCCAATGCTGAGACCCTGGAGCAACTTGTCAGCAATGGTGACGTCTGTCCCGAGAAGATTATCCGTGTTCCACTTCTCGGAGAAGGTGAGCCCATACTCTTTGACCTTGTACTTGGTCTCCAAGTTTCCCACGACGACACCGGTGTCTTGATTGGAGAATCCACCGCTCGAGAATTCAACGCCAGAGTCAGTCTTGGTGCTGACGTCGAGCTTCAGGAGACCAAAGTGGTAGCCTTTGCTGAATACATCACGAGCGCTCTTTCCCAAATCTCCATATGTCGGGGGAGCCATTTTCTGCTGAATTATATGAGCAAATTTTTCACTCTATTCAAGTATCTCTCTGCATTAAAAAAATCTAAATCGACTTCTGGTGTTAAAAATTTGGTACTCGAAGTTGAGACTCTGACATTAAGGGTCGCAAGGGTCATGAGGTTCAGAATAAGGGTTTTGAGGGTCAAAGTAAGGGTCACGAGGGTTAAAATAAGAATAAGAATAAGGGCACAAGGGCCAGAAGAAAGGTGATGAGGGTCAGATTAAGGGTCACAAGGGTCAAATTAAGGGCCCAAATAAGGGTAATAAGGGTTAGATTAAGGGTTTAAATAAATGTCACCAGGTTCAGATTAAGGGGCCAAATAAGGGCCACAAAGGTCAGATTAAGGGTCGCAAGGGTCATATTAAGGGCCCAAATAAGGGCTAGATTAAGGGTTTAAATAAATGTCACCAGGTTCAGATTAAGGGGCCAAATAAGGGCCACAAGGGTCAGATTAAGGGTCGCAAGGGTCATATTAAGGGCCCAAATAAGGGCTAGATTAAGGGTTTAAATAAATGTCACCAGGTTCAGATTAAGGGGCCAAATAAGGGCCACAAGGGTCAGATTAAGGGTCGCAAGGGTCATATTAAGGGCCCAAATAAGGGCTAGATTAAGGGTTTAAATAAATGTCACCAGGTTCAGATTAAGGGGCCAAATAAGGGCCACAAGGGTCAGATTAAGGGTCGCAAGGGTCATATTAAGGGCCCAAATAAGGGCTAGATTAAGGGTTTAAATAAGTGTCACCAGGTTCAGATTAAGGGCCCAAATGAGGGCCACAAGGGTCAGATTAAGGGCCCAAATAAGGGTAGAGTTAGATTAAGGGCCCAAATAAGGGTAAAAAGGGTTAGATTAAGGGTTTAAACAAGTGTCACAAGGTTCAGAGTAAGGGTCGCTAGGGTCAGAACAGGGGTCCAAATAAGGTCATGGGGATCAGAAAGTAAGGGTCACAATAAGGGCCTCAATATCTCTATATTGAAAAAATCTAAATCGACTTTTGGTGATGAAAATTTGGCACTCGAAATTAAGACTCCAAAATTAAGGGTCAAAATAAGGGTCACGACGGGTATGAAGGTCGCGAGGGTCAGAATAAGGATTAGGAGGGTTGGCGAGTGGAGCGAGTAGGGGGCGGAGCCCCCCAGTTCAATCAATAATTCATCAAATTTTCGATGAAACAATTTTTTTTCAGTTGTTCTTGAGGTGAGGTTGGGGCAAAACGGTTCATTAAATAATATAAAAAATGCGTTAAAGTTTCGATGAAGTGGAAAAAATGGTTTTCTTTAAAATAGGGAAACAGGAAGTTAATTGAACTGCGGTTAATCATCGATAACTGGAGATCGGCAGAGTGAAAATCAATGATTTCTCTTTCATTTTCAAGGTATTTTTTCAAGCTTCAACATGAGACCTGACTCGTCCAAATCGCATCATTGAGTCCGAAGATATACCGAATTAAGAAGATCCATTTTACAAAAGATTGAATTACAAAAGGGGAAATTATCACAAAACGCCCCGATCATAAACTTGAATATCTCAAAATTGGCAGAGTGAAAATCGCCAACTTTTTTTTCATTTCAAAGAATTTTTTTCGGGCTCGAAAATGAGCCCTGCCCCATCCCAACCGTACCACCCGCTCAAGAAATACGAATCATTGAAAGTCCCTCCTACCTCGCCCCATTTGTCCCCTCACAAACCCAAATTAATTCCAATCGACAACAATTGACGAATAAATTTCTGCCCGAACATTCTCTACCTCAAGTTAATCCCCCGATTATCTGCAAATCTCATAACTACCTCAGTGCCTGGGCACTAGGTCACCCCCAATGAACCCCGTCCTCTGACCCAGTTTAAGGTTCGAGACCTTGAGACCAATTTAACAAAACAAAATCCCGTCCCAGAGCCCCGAATCGAACCCCCAAACTCCGCTCGAGGGGCGATTGTTGTCGTTTGATCCCGGAAAAGCCTGAGGGTCCTCCGAGCCCAAAATTTAATCGAGACCTCGTGAATTTTCACACCGTCACGAGGGCGCCGCATAAGAAAGGCGGTATTGACCTGCGGTAGTTATTACATAATAAGCCGATCTGGACTTGTGCACGAGACACCCTCGACAATTTCTCGATAATTGGCCCGAGGGATTTCCGGTGTCGCGGGATGAGGGGAAGTTGCAAAAAAGAGATCGATTTTTCAATGGCCTCGGGACCACGTTTTGGGTTTGACCACGAAATTGTGGGGTTGGGTGGGCTGACGACGTGAGGAGCCCCCGGACACCTCTAGCCGGCTCTAACACCACTATTATCACTATCACCTTCGCCTCCACTATTTCCGAACCACCCCTCGACCCCCGGAGGGCCAACCCCGGTGAAATCATGGTTCTACTCACTTTTAATTAACGGTTAAGGAGCTCGGGAGTAGGCGATTTATTCACTTGAGATGCTGCCTGCGTGCGAAAGCTACTCTGCCGGCCGATGCGAGGGGAACTATGCTTCTCGCCTCTGCGCATGCGCCGATCGGCGACCCCCCGCGGGGGTCGACCCCTGCGGTATTGAATTTTTAGGATTTTTTTTAATATTGAAAAGGGTTTTTTTCATTCCGAAGAGGTAATTTTGGTGGGGAATATTGGATTTGTAGATTTTTAGGAGACGCGCCACTTCCTGTGATCTCGCCTTGACCCTGATGGTGGATTTAATCCATTTCCGGATGATCAGCGCGTTTTTATTTGAATTTTGGGGATTGACCTCTATTTTTTTATTTATCTTCGTCGGGGATAAAAATGTGAAATTGATTTTTATTAGAATATTATTTGAATTTTAATTTTTTTATTTTTGAATTATTATTTTTTTAATTTAAGAAAATATCGAAAATGGAATCTAGTCTATTTCCGGATGATTAGCGCGTTTTCTCCATTTTTGAATTCAAATTTCCATTTTTTTATTCATCTTCATGAGAGGATAAAAAATATGAAATTTATTTATTTAATAAAATAAATAATAATAATAAATAAAAAATATGAAATTGATTTTTATTAGAATATTACTTAAATTTTTTTTATTTTTGATTTTTTTTTAATTCAAAAAAATATTGAAAAAAAATGTAATCTATTTTCCGATAATTAGAACGTTTTTCTTTGAATTCCATTGATAAATCTCCATTCTCCTTACTCATCTCCACAAAAAAATGAAAAAGCCGAAATTTATTTCAATTGAAACACCAATGGAAGAAGATCCTAGAACGACAACGACCACTTGCGAAACAATTGACATGAATTTGTTTACCAACTTCGAGCATAAACAACCGAGCAATCCGACCAATAAGCGCTCTCCCCCAGCGGAACCCAAAAATAAACCGCCTTCGAAGATACTAGACCCACCCGATATGCCCCCCCCCAGCGTGTAGATGAGAGTAGCATAATCTAGAATTTACTGTTGGCAAAGTTGAACAGCCGTGTATTTTTAATTCCATCGAGTCTATAAAACCCGAGTCCCTCCGATCCTGGGTATGTACTTCGAATCTCGCGATCGTTGAATAAACACTGATTACCTAAAACCCCGTGAAGTGAAAAATGTCAGCGACAGTTGTAAGTACCCCCTACATGCCTCTGAATATCTAAAAAACTCGTTGAATTAGTGATTGTAAGAATGATCTCGCTATTCCCGTCAAGGACTCAACTGCAGGTGCCTCGACCTACCAGATTCTCTCCAACGACAGAGTTGGAAGGTAAGAATTACTGCGGTTCATTGTCCCCCAGACGTTCCCATTTCAGTTCTAAATCCGCTTCTGAAATATTTCAGTCGAGAGTGGTCATTAACCCACGTCTCTCTGCATGTCTTCTGACCCTTACGACCCTGAATTTCCTAAGGGCCTCTCATTTTAAGACAAATAAATTGGCAATACGATCTAACGTACTTTTAACGATCAGTATGAGTCTTTTTTTCAACCGTCTGTTACGCCGCTTAAATTTTGGATACGAAAATATTTTTGAACTGGGCGGCTTCGTCGCCTGCTCGCTTCGCTCCCCGCCCCCAGGGAGGCGTCACCCTTCCGCTCGCTTCGCTCCCCCCCCCCCAACTCCGTGAGTTCAAACAAAGATCGGAAATACCTCTTCTTTATCACATCGATAAATAGTGATTGATAATAAGTCCATATGTGTATACAGGCTCGCGTTACCGCATTGAAATTTCATCTTGTTTTTGACAGGTGTTAATTTTTGCTTAATTTTTGTGTATGAAAATATTTTTGAACTAGGCGCTCGTTTCGCTCGCCAACCGCCAAGAGGGGAGGGGGCGTCGCCCTTCCGCTCGCTTCGCTCCCCCCCCCCCAACTCCGTGAGTTCAAACAAAGATCGGAAATACCACTTCTTTATCACATCGATAAATAGTGATTGATAATAAGTCCATATGTGTAGACAGGCTCGCGTTACCGCATTGAAATGTCATCTTGTTTTTGACAGGTGTTAATTTTTGCGTATGAAAATGTTTTTGAACTAGGCGGCTTCGCCCCCTGCTCGCTTCGCTCGCCAACCGCTGGGAGGGGGGGGGGCGTCGCCCTTCCGCTCGCTTCGCTCTCTCCTAAAAAAGCAAAACGTATTATGCTTGGGACCCTTATGACCCTTCTGACCCTTGTGAACCCTGAAAATTTTTGCGTGTTCTTAATTTACAAAATTGTTATATAGATTGGTTTAAAAAAATAAAGAAATCGCCTGGGGACTTCCCTGGGAGTCGAGATAATTAAAAAAAAATAATTTTAATCATTCTTTGTTTGCAAATTCACACGTACGACAGAATTTCATAAAAAAACTCCAGTGAATTCGCTAGGAAATTTTATCGGATTTCTTCTGAACTCTCTAAATAGAAGTTTTCAACGAAACATATTCTGCAGATAAAATCACTGGAACTTAAATTAAATCGTTAATATTAAAAATAAACTTTCGACATTGTCAAAATAGAAAAAAATACTAAAATTAATAACGCCCTTAGGTATATGGTGGCAAGCAAAGACCTAGACCCCGGAGAAGAGATTCTGACGGAGCTGCCCTTCGTAGTGGGTCCGAAGGCGTCAACCTACCCCCTATGCCTGTCATGCTACACCCCCTGGCCTCCGGCCCCCGACACCACCCCCCTGTGCTCCAAATGTCACTGGCCAGTGTGTAACGAGACCTGCGAGAATGCTGCGCAACACAAGGAATACGAGTGCCCCGTATGTCTTCGCGCTTTCACTGATTCCCCCTACCAAATTTCCCGGAAATAATTTTTAATTTTAACCCTTCGTTACTCGCGTCCGCGGCACCGTTCGCCATTCTCCGGAAATAATCCCCAGCGTATTTTCTCCTCTCCCTAGATTCTCCAAGCTTCGAAGGAGAAGTTCAACGTTAAAGAAGCATTGGAGGAGGAGAATCCGAACGGTCTCCCCCAGCTGGAGTGCATCACCCCCTTGAGACTGCTCCTGGCGTCCGAGAAATTCCCGGAGCGATGGAATCGAGAAGTGAAGGACATGGAGGCGCACAATAAGAAGCGGAGCCAGGGGACCCAGTGGAAGACCGACGACACGAACATCGTCAAGTTCATCCGAGAACGGCTGAAGCTCGACAGATTCTCGGAGGAAGCTATTCAAACGGCCTGCGGAATTCTGGAGATCAATTGCCACGAGATCAGGACGGCTGGGGGGTATGGGGCGAGGGCCCTGTACCCCACAGTCGCCCTCATGAATCATTCTTGTGTCTCTAACACTAGCCACTGCGTTCAGACTGATGACTACGGGTGAGACCATCAGACGAAGAGACAACGAATTGGGGTGTGAGGGGATTCTCCAATACGCCTCACACCCATAAGTTTTTTTATAAACTTTTTATATTGTTTATTAACAAACATGTTGCAAATTGCACTTTGTGCAAAAATGTCATTTTTATATGAATCCATCATCCTTCAGCAATAAAAAAAGACTATCATTTTTCCGATACAACCAATATTTATCGAGTTATAATGTTATAAACAATTAGGGTGAGACTCAGGACGACTGTGCGAGTCCCCAAGAACGGGGAGCTCTTGGGAAGCTACACCCACTCGCTCCTCCCGACCATGTTGAGACAAGAGCATCTCCTCGTGGGGAAGCACTTCCAGTGCGCCTGCCCCCGATGCTCTGATCCAACGGAACTTGGAACACACATGTCTTCTCTCAAGTGTAACAAGTGTGATAATGGAGTTGTCGTTTCACTGGACTCTTTAGGTACCTTCACATCCTCATATCACTTACCCCCTCACATGGATGAAAAAATTTAATAGAAAAAGCTAACGAATTCGTTAGAAAATTTTATTATATTTCTATTGAAATGGTCAACGTCAATAGAATTCAACTTTTCTATACAATTTATTGAGATATTTTCTATAGAATTTCCTGCGCTCAAATTTTTCAAGTTTTTTTCATTCCATTCTTCGTTCCTTCTCATAATGAATTCTCGTTGAAATTATATTTGTTTTTTGCCCAAATTCTATTGGATATTTCATAGGATAAAGTCGAAAGATTTTGATTTTTCTGGAAATTTTTTCAAGTTTTCTCCGCTATATTTTGTTTTATTTTGCATTACAGGATCCGAGTGAAAAAAATAGAAAATTCATGCCCAGGTATTCTCGTATTCATATAGAAAAATCGAAATCTATCGGCTGTGTCCAGAATTCTAACGAGAATTCCCTAGAATTTTAATAGAATTCCAATAAAATTTTCTAGCGGATTCCCCAAGTTTTTCCATTGAATTATCAAGTAAAGGGTCAACTCGAAATTCAACCCTCAAAAATCGAAATGAGATCATATTTTTTTAGACACTTCAATACTACATTCACTTACAGATCCCGAAAGTACGTGGAAGTGCACCCACTGTGAATTCTCAACGAGTGGAGCAGCGGTGAAGAAAGTCCTCCAGATAATAAATTCCGAGGTGGAGGCGGTGGAGGCAATCACAGGTGACTGTGGCCCAGACGCCATCCACCAGAGAGAGAGCATAATAAAAAAATACCACTCCGTTCTCCACCCCCGTCACGCGTTCCTCACAATGCTAAGGTAATTATCATCTCTTAACACTCAATCCCCTTCTAGGTAAGTGACCGCAACACGCCTGAAAAAATTTAATAGAAATTCTAGCGAATTCGCTAGAAAATTCTATTTGAATTCTACAGGAATTCTGTGGCGTTTCTATAGGATTTCTTGTGGAATTCTACTGAAAAATTCTATTTGTTTTTTGCGCTGATTTTACACAAAAATAATTTTTCTATAGAATTCCAATAGAAATCCTATAGGAACTTCATAGAATTCCTATAGAATTCCAATAGAATTTTCTAGGAAATTCTATTGAATTTTTTCATACGTGAACCTCTGTTTCAGGCACTTGCTATCGCAGCTGAAAAAATTTAATAGAAATTGTAGCGAATTCGCTAGAAAATTCTATTGGAATTCTACAGGAATTCTGTGGCATTTCTATAGGATTTCTTGTGGAATTCTACTGAAAAATTCTATTTGTTTTTTGCGCTGATTTTACACAAAAAGAATTTTTCTGTAGAATTCCAATAGAAATCCTATAGGAACCCCACGGAATTCCTATAGAATTCCAATAGAATTTTCTAGCAAATTCTATTGAATTTTTTCATACGTGAACCTCTGTTTCAGGCACTTGCTATCGCAGCTGAAAGAATTCAATAGAAATCCTAGCGAATTCACTAGAAAATTCTATTGGAATTCTATAGAAAAATTATTTTTGTGTAATATCAGCGCAAAAAACAAATAGAATTTTTCAGTAGAATTCCACAAGAAATCCTATAGAACCGCCACTGAATTCCTGTGGAATTCCAATAGAATTTTCTGGCAAGTGCTATTGAATTTTTTCATACGTGAACCTCTGTTTCAGGCACTTGCTATCGCAGCTGAAAGAATTCAATAGAAATCCTAGCGAATTCACTAGAAAATTCTATTGGAATTCCACAGGAATTCAGTGGCGGTTCTATAGGATTTCTTGTGGAATTCTACTGAAAAATTCTATTTGTTTTTTGCGCTGATTTTACACAAAAAGAATTTTTCTATAGAATTCCAATAGAAATCCTATAGGAACCCCACGGAATTCCTATAGAATTCCAATAGAATTTTCTAGCAAATTCTATTGAATTTTTTCATACGTGAACCTCTGTTTCAGGCACTTGCTATCGCAGCTGAAAGAATTCAATAGAAATCCTAGCGAATTCACTAGAAAATTCTATTGGAATTCTACAGGAATTCTGTGGCGTTTCTATAGGATTTCTTGTGGAATTCTATTGAAAAATTCTATTTGTTTTTTGCGCTGATTCTACACAAATAGAATTTCTCAATAGAATTCCAATAGAAACCCTATAGGAACCCCATAGAATTCCTATAGAATTCCAATAGAATTTTCCCGCAAATTCTATTGAATTTTTTCGTACGTGAACCTCTGTTTCAGGCACTCGTTACCGCAGCTGAAAGAATTCAATAGAAATCCTAGCGAATTCACTAGAAAATTCTATTGGAATTCTACAGGAATTCTATGGCGTTTTTATAGGATTTCTTGTGGAATTCTATTGAAAAATTCCTATAGAATTCCAATAGAATTTTTTCATACGTGAACCTCTGTTTCAGGCAATCGTTACCGCAGCTGAAAGAATTCAATAGAAATCCTAGCGAATTCACTAGAAAATTCTATTGGAATTCTACAGGAATTCTGTGGCGTTTCTATAGGATTTCTTGTGGAATTCTATTGAAAAATTCTATTTGTTTTTTGCGCTGATTCTACACAAATAGAATTTCTCAATAGAATTCCAATAGAAACCCTATAGGAACCCCATAGAATTCCTATAGAATTCCAATAGAATTTTCCCGCAAATTCTATTGAATTTTTTCGTACGTGAACCTCTGTTTCAGGCACTCGTTACCGCAGCTGAAAGAATTCAATAGAAATCCTAGCGAATTCACTAGAAAATTCTATTGGAATTCTACAGGAATTCTATGGCGTTTTTATAGGATTTCTTGTGGAATTCTATTGAAAAATTCCTATAGAATTCCAATAGAATTTTTTCATACGTGAACCTCTGTTTCAGGCACTCGTTACCGCAGCTGAAAGAATTCAATAGAAATCCTAGCGAATTCACTAGAAAATTCTATTGGAATTCTACAGGAATTCTATGGCGTTTTTATAGGATTTCTTGTGGAATTCTATTGAAAAATTCCTATAGAATTCCAATAGAATTTTTTCATACGTGAACCTCTGTTTCAGGCACTCGTTACCGCAGCTGAAAGAATTCAATAGAAATCCTAGCGAATTCACTAGAAAATTCTATTGGAATTCTACAGGAATTCTATGGCGTTTTTATAGGATTTCTTGTGGAATTCTATTGAAAAATTCCTATAGAATTCCAATAGAATTTTTTCATACGTGAACCTCTGTTTCAGGCAATCGTTACCGCAGCTGAAAGAATTCAATAGAAATCCTAGCGAATTCACTAGAAAATTCTATTGGAATTCTACAGGAATTCTGTGGCATTTCTATAGGATTTCTCGTGGAATTCTATTGAAAAATTCTATTTGTTTTTTGCGCTGATTCTACACAAATAGAATTTCTCAATAGAATTCCAATGGAAACCCTATAGAAACCCCATAGAATTCCAATAGAATGTTCTAGCAAATTCTATTGAATTTTTTCATACGTGAACCTCTGTTTCAGGCACTCGTTATCGCAGCTGTACGGACGAGTGGAGGAGTACAATCTCGACGATCTACCGGACATTGTTCTCGAGCACAAGGTGGACATGTGCAGGCTTCTCCTCCAGGTTCTCGATGTCGTTGAGCCCGGATTAACGAGAATACGGGGAATGACTCTGTATGAACTTCACGCGCCACTTCTCTTCCTGGCCAAGTCCCAGTGGAATGCCGGGGTCATTGATGATGCGGCCCTCAAATCCAAGATGACTGAGGCTGCTAATGTCCTCAAAGAAGCCGCCACCATCCTCAGTCTCGAGCCTTTGGACTCCATGGAGGGACAGATTGGGGCTGGCGCCAGGGAGGCTTTGACTCAGCTCGACCAGTCGATCAGAGATTTATGAATCAATCGGCATTGTTCGTTATTTGCATTCTCTGTACCTTTTTTAATTGAATAAATTGACTGATCCAAAGAAAATTTTCGAGAAAAGCACACCGATTTCTACCTCCCCTCCCCTCCCAACAAGATTTTGTGAGTAGGAAAAAAATATTGAAGTGTGTGAATTCTTCGAGCCATTAATTCTCAGTCAAAAAGACACGGAAAAATTTGGACAATGGCTTAAAAAATTGGTTCATTTTAGAGGAACAGGATGACGCGAGTTAAGGGTGATCAGAGGAGAATAAATAATTTTTAAAAATATTTGAAAATACGAGGTGAGAGCGCCGCCATCTTTGAAGCCCCTGCCAACAGAGGGAGGGGCTATGCAAGCAAGATGGCGGCGCCTGTGCACCACCTCGCATTTTCGAACATTTGTTAGAATTATTTATCCCCCTCAGATCGATCTTCAACTCGTTCTCTGCAATTCCTAGGAAATGAACAAATTTTTCAAGCGGCATTGTTCGTTATTTGCATTCTCTGCACCTTTTTTAATTGAATAAATTGACTCATCCAACGGAAATTTTCGAGAAAAGCACACCGATTTCTACATCCCCTCCCCTCCCAACAAGATTTTGTGAGTAGGAAAAAAATATTGAAGTGTGTGAATTCCTCGAGCCATGAATTCTCAGTCAAAAAGGCACGGAAAAATTTGGACAATGGCTTAAAAAATTGGTTCATTTTAGAGGAACAGGATGACGCGAGTTGAAGGTGATCAGAGGAGAATAAATAATTTTTAAAAATATTTGAAAATACGAGGTGAGAGCGCCGCCATCTTTGAAGCCCCTGCCAACAGAGGGGGGGGGGCTATGCAAGCAAGATGGCGGCGCCTATGCACCACCTTGCATTTTCGAACATTCGTTAGAATTATTTATCCCCCTCAGATCGATCTTCAACTCGTTCCAGGCAGTTCCTAGGAAATGAACAAATTTTTCAAGCTACTCTTCACGGCGCGAAAATTCTCCCCCATTTCCTAATTTTCGTTTCTAATCACGACGCCTCCTGATGATAATAAAAATATTAAGAACTTTTCAAGATTGAATATAACACATGAAACTCATCGATGTGAGGACCTCTGCATTTATTCTAAATTTAGAATAGTTTTCGGCATGTACTAGAGCCGAAGGAACCACCAGTGAGTTTCTAAATATATTCCTCACCGAGTTGTGCGATCGTCAGTGCCATCCCCCGTCTCTTTTATTGTAGAAGCATTCACAATGCTCATCAAAGAAATTGAGAATGAGATTCAGAAGTACGAGGAGGCTTCTTCAGGTCAACTCGGAAGGTGAGCTCAAAAGTCCAGCACTTCCTGCCCCAACATATCGCAATGATGTTTTAATTCACGTGTGAAAAAACTTGATGAGAAGAAAAGAAAAATAGAATGAAGAAAAACCTATTGAATTCGTTAGAAAATTCTGTTGAATTTCTATTGACCTGTTCTATTAGTTTTTGGCCGATTCTATTGAAATGTTCAATGGAAAATATTCAGTAGAAAAATTCAATAGAATTCAATTTTTCTAGATTACTTATTCTGTTGAGATATTTTCTATAGAATTTCCTCGGCTCAAATTTTCCAAATTTTTTCGTTTGATTTTCTTGATGAGAAGAAAAAAAAATAGAATGAAAAAAATTAGAAAATTTGAACATGTCAATAGAATCAGCGAAAAACTACTAAAAAGTTTAATAGAAATTCAATAGAATTTCCCAACGAATTCGATAGGTTTTCCCATTACCCCTAGATTGGTCACCATGCGAGGAATTGCCGCAACGCGTCGTTTTTTTCGTCTTGTCACCGGCCGGTTGACCGGAAAAATCCGAAAAAATTTGAATTCGTCAACTAAAGTATCTGGAAAATTTTAGTATTGTTTTTTTAACATTACATCCCAAATTCTGGGAGAAAAAAAATCATTTCCAACAGTTGAGCAATTTTTTCCCGTGTTAAATGAAATTGTCCGTTGCGCGACGTTGCTGGAAACTCGTTAAACGCGCGCGGGCAGTGTAGACTGAATTCGGCAACGCTGGAGCCTAAATAACACGGCGGCAACTCCCCGCGGAGGTGACCAGAGTCGCAAGTTCGCGTCAGGTGACGAGGGTCAAATTTTTTCGTGCGCGAAGGTATCTGATAGCGGGCAAGCAGCTGTCCCCTGGCGAAGTGATTCTCCGCGAGAAGCCGCTGGCAGTGGGTCCCGCAGTCTTCAACGACAATTTATTATGCTTCGGCTGCCAGCGGACAATCCCAAACCTCCCACTCCTGCTCAGGTTCCACTGCAAGACCTGTGGAACCGCGATCTTCTGCAGTTCCCCATGTGAAGCTCGTCGAGGTCTCCACACGCCCCCAGAATGCGCAGCATTCAAGGGATCTCGACACCTGAGGGACCTCGACTGGCCCGAATTCCGGGGGATCATCTTCCCGCTGCGTCTGTGGCTCCTCCAGGAAGCGGACGGCGACTCCTGGCGGGCGCTAATGGGCCTGGAGGCCCACCTGGAAGACCGGAAGGACACGCGAGTCTGGCAGGATCGCCAGGAGACCGTCGTCGACGTCCTGAGGCGGCTGGGGCTGGCGGAAAATGCCGACAACGTCCTCCAAAGGATCTGCGGAATCGTCGACGTCAACTCCTTCGAGCTCCGATCCCCAGGAACTCTCGAGAATTCCCCCCTCCGGGGACTCTATCCCAAGGCTGCCCTCATGGCTCACGACTGCAGGGGAAACACTCACTTGACTGTCGACGACGATTTCAATTTAACAGTTTACGCTAGTCTTTCTATCGACAAAGGCGCGCCCATCCTCTTCAATTACACCTCTTCCTTGCTGGGGACTCTTGAGAGACGCGCGTTCCTTCGGGAGGGGAAGTACTTCAATTGCAATTGCGCGATGTGCCGGGATCCCGAGGAACTCGGGGCGCATCTCAGTTCGATTTTGTGCCCTCGGTGCAGGGAGGGATTCCTGGGGGTTGAAGATCCGGACGTTGGGAATCCATTTGTTCGGAAGAGAAATTGGATTTGCGGTTATTGTGGGAGATCGTACTCCGGGAAACTTGTCAGGAGTACATTGGATTTGGCGCAGTGGAAGATTATAAAAAGCGATCATTCGAGGGCTAAGGTTCGTCGGAGGGTCAATTTTTAGGGAAAATTTTCGGGTGACAGCAGAAAAATTCATCCATTTCATTTTAATTAATTAATCGATTAATTGACCAATTGATTAATTACTGATTAATTAAATTTAATTAATTAATTGATTAATTAATTTTTTTTTATTAATTTTTTTTATCATTCCACTGCTAATGCTAGTCTGAAGGTCAATTTTTGAGGGAAAATTTGATTAATTGATTAATTGATTGATTAATCGATTAATTAATTGATTAATGAATTAATTGATTGATTAAAATAAAAATTTTCAGGTCACAGCAGAAAAATTCATCATTTTCATTTTAATTAATTAATCGATTAATTGATTTATTAATTTAAATTTAATTAGTCAACTAGATAATTAATTAAATTTAATTTTTATTTAATTTTTTTGATCATTCCACTGCTAATGCTAGTCTGAATGTCAATTTTTGAGGAAAAATTCTGGAATGACAGCAGAAAAATAGATTAATTGTATTTAATTTTTTTAATTTCCATTTTTTTATCGATAAATTTTTTTTTCTTTCCTAAATCCCTCATTTTTTTAGGACTTGGAGGAATTGATCAAGAGCCTAACTCGTACGTTCCACCCCCACCATTCACTATTACTGAATCTGAAACAAAAATTGTTGGCAATTTATAGAAAGGAAATGGCGAGTTTACGTCCCCAGAAACAAATCCTTCAGAGAATGTTAGAACTGTGTAGAGAATTCGTGGAGGTTCTGGAGATTGTTGAGCCCGGAATTTCGAGACTGAAAGGTAGTGATTTCCAATCGTCGTGGAGACATCTAGATCTCTGAGAAGGTCAATTTAACTGGGAATTTTAATCACTAGGAATTATGCTGTACGAAATGCATCTTCCAATGGTCATTCTATCGAATCGCGCCTACACGTCCCGAGAGATATCGTCAGAAGAATTGGCAGTTCGTCTGGAGGAGGCCGCGAGGCACCTGAAGAAGGCGCTGTCGATGCTCCTCCTTGAACCTGCGACCACCCCCGAAGGACTGTTAGCGAAAAGAGCGCTTCAGGAATATAAAACACTTCGTCAGAATTTGGAGGACGTAAAGTCTCTTCCGCCTGCCCCGAAATCGACTAGTTTCACTTGTAAAAAATGAAGTAATTAAACCCCCAAAAATTTTACCATCAATTAACCCCCCCCCCCCGGTTAATAATAAAAGAAACTAAACGATAAATCGTTATCTAACAGGTGCCAATATTTTTTATCATTTTTTTCTAGTTTTTAGGAAAAAAATTAGAGTTTAATCTCTGTTTTAACCCGAGCTGTGTCAAATTTAGCGTTTTTCACATAAGACCCTGTGTTAAATAATGAATTTTCAAAATTTTAATTTATAAAAACGAACGACAATTCTTCTTCAACTTGATCTATTCATTTGTTGAAATGAAGAAATGGAATTCATTAAATTTCATTTTCTCATGATTACCTTATAAATATTGATAATGAATCAAAGAGAATTCGACTAATGATTGAAGCGAATAGCGAAGTAGAGTAAAAGAATCTACAAAAAATTTTTCATTTTCAATTAATTTCACCGATGATATATATACATGTGAAATATATATATTATATATATATATGACGTGAAAAAAAATTTACCACTGAAGAATTTGAAAATGCCGCGTGTTTTTTTTGTGAATAACTTCGTGTCACATATTGACCAATCAGAATTAAGGATTGGCGGTCAGGCAGTTTCGAGATATTTCGATATAAAACAACTTCACGTTTCTTTCATCTTTAGTAAAATAGGACAAGATCTATACGCGCGCTCTCGCGCGCGCTGATGTATTCATTTGTTGAAATGAAGAAATGGAATTCATTAAATTTCATTTTCCCATGAATACCTTATAAATATTGATAATGAATCAAAGAGAATTCGACTAATGATTGAAGTGAATAGCGAAGTAGAGTAAAAGAATCTACAAAAAATTTTTCATTTTCAATTAATTATCTTAAATTTTTTTAAATAATCGGTCTCCATAAAAGGACAGAATTTATTAATTTCACCGATGATATATATACATGTGAAATATATATATTATATACATATGACGTGAAAAAAAATTTACCACTGAAGAATTTGAAATTCTGTCACTGAAGAATTTGAAAATGCCGCGTGTGTTTTTTGTGAATAACTTCGTGTCACATATTGACACGAAGGCAGTTTCGAGATATTTCGATATAAAACAACTTCACATTTCTTTCATCTTCAGTAAATAGTATAGGAACGTTCTACGCACACCTGATACCAAACACAGACCCAGAGACGCAAGCCAGAGTCGGCGCGCCATGAAAGAGTGTGAAGCCCAGTCAGTAGTGGTGTCTGTGCAGTGGCGACTGGTTGTTGTTCGCAATTCCGTCGTTAACATCAGAAATGTGATATCGAGGAGAGCATCGTCTCGATAACACTGTTCACCACTAGTCGGCACGTTAGCCTTATTATTTTATTTTTCTTTCTGAAGAGGTATAACAAACGAGCCCCAGTAAATTCCATGACTTTCGTCAATCATAACCTGCAGATTGAGGATATTTCGTGATTTATTTAGAGTAGAAAAACATGATTGACCAGAGTGTAGTCGGTATTTGCATGCTGATTGGTCTCGCTGTGGTCTTCAACTTCTCCATTCATCGAATCGAGGAGGGACACGTGGGAGTTTACTTCAGGGTATGTAAACAACAGCGAGTTGATTGGTATTTCAGTCCTCTGAGAATCGTGAAAATACGCTATTTCGGGACGTATTTAGTCGCCAATAACTGGAGATTGGCAGAATGAATTTTAATGATTTATTTATGACCCTTAATATGACCCTCATGAATCTTATTTTGGCCCTCGTGACCCTTATTCTGACTTTATGGCCGCTATTTTGACGCATGACCCTTATTATGACCCTTATAACCCTCATATTTACCCTCGTGACCCTTATTTTGACCCTCATGAGTCTTATTTTGGCCCTCGCGACCCTTATTCTGACTTTATGGCCGCTACTTTGACGCATGACCCTTATTATGACCCTTATGACCTTCATATTTACCCTCGTGACCCTTATTTTGACCCTCATGAATCTTATTTTAACCCTCGTGACCCTTATTCTGACTTTATGGCCGCTATTTTGACGCATGACCCTTATTATGACCCTTATAACCCTCATATTTACCCTCGTGACCCTTATTTTGACCCTCATGAGTCTTATTTTGGCCCTCGCGACCCTTATTCTGACTTTATGGCCGCTACTTTGACGCATGACCCTTATTATGACCCTTATGACCTTCATATTTACCCTCGTGACCCTTATTTTGACCCTCATGAATCTTATTTTAACCCTCGTGACCCTTATTCTGACTTTATGGCCGCTATTTTGACGCATGACCCTTATTATGACCCTTATAACCCTCATATTTACCCTCGTGACCCTTATTTTGACCCTCATGAGTCTTATTTGGGCTCTTTTGACCCTTATTCTGACTTTATGGCCGCTATTTTGACGCATGACCCTTATAACCCTCATATTTACCCTCGTGACCCTTATTTTGACCCTCATGAGTCTTATTTGGGCTCTTTTGACCCTTATTCTGACTTTATGGCCGCTATTTTGACGCATGACCCTTATAACCCTCATATTTACCCTCGTGACCCTTATTTTGACCCTCATGAGTCTTATTTGGGCTCTTTTGACCCTTATTCTGACTTTATGGCCGCTATTTTGACGCATGATCCTTATTATGACCCTTATGACCTTCATATTTACCTTCGTGACCCTTATTTTGACCCTCATGAGCCTTATTTTCGCTCTCTTGACCCTTATTCTGACTTTATGGCCGCTATTTTGACGCATGCCCCTTATTATGACCCTTATAACCCTCATATTTACCCTCGTGACCCTTATTTTGACCCTTAATTCTGAGTACCAAATTTTTGATCACCAGAAGTCGATTTAGATTTTTACAATATAGAGAGGTCACGAAACAGGTTAATTTACCTTGATTCACTTGGGATGGGCTGAGTTAAATTTCACAATTTTTTTTTCATTTTGAAGATCATTTTTTAACTTTAAACTCAAATAATTTACTATTTTCACACACGACTTCACGATTTTTTTTTCTTTTTGAAGCTGATTTTTTAAACTTTAAAATCAGATAATTTACGATTTTCACACACAATTTCACGATTTTTTTTTTAATTTTGAAGATAATTTTTTAAACTTCAAAATGAGATAATTTACGATTGTCACACACAATTTCACAATTTTTTTTTTCATTTTGAAGATAATTTTTTAAACTTCAAAATGAGATAATTTACGATTTTCACACACAATTTCCCGATTTTTTTTTTAATTTTGAAGAGTATTTTTTAAACTTTAAAGTGAGACGTGAGTCATCCAAATCTCATCGTTGACTCCGAAAATATTGCTGATTACAGGGCGGAGCACTCTTACCCTCAGTCAGCAGTCCTGGATTCCACATGATGATTCCCCTCCTCACGACCTTCCGCTCAGTCCAAGTGACACTTCAAACTGATGAAGTGAAGAATGTCCCCTGTGGAACGAGCGGTGGAGTGATGATTTACTTCGACCGAATAGAAGTCGTCAACGTTCTTGATCCCAGTGCAGGTGAGGAATCCTTCAGAAGTATCAGTGACAAAATTATTGATTGATTTTCATTCTTCAGTTCACAGTATGGTGAAGAATTTCACTGCCGACTACGATCGTACCCTCATATTCAACAAGGTTCACCACGAGTTGAATCAATTTTGCTCAGTGCACACACTGCACGAGGTCTACATTGACCTGTTCGATCAGATTGACGAGAATCTGAAGACTGCGTTACAGAGAGATTTGAACGAACTTGCGCCTGGTCTGAGTATACAGGCTGTTAGAGTCACTAAACCAAAAATACCAGAGACTATCAGGAAGAATTATGAGCTCATGTGAGTTGGATTCATATTTTTTCTCTCATTATTTCCCTGAAAGAAATTTTTGACCTCAAAAATTCGTTTCTTCTCCTTCTGAATCTCAATTAAAAACGCTCTTTGAAAAAGTTCTGAATTTTTTCTATTTTTTTATCATTCTATGATAATTTTTGGGAATTTCTACGTGATGTACCACTCAATTGACAATTTTGGATTACGAAAGATGAAAAAAATCTAGGTAACACTCGAAAGATAGTACACCCGAGCCTTAAGTTCTCAAATTTCAGTTTTCAGAGAATTGATCAAGAGATTTTAATTTCTCATTAATGCCAATTTCAGGGAAGGAGAAAAAACAAAACTTCTAATTTCCATTCAGCACCAAAAAGTCGTGGAGAAAGACGCTGAGACTGATCGTAAAAAAGCGATAATCGAGGCAGAGAAGGAGTCCCAAGTTGCCCAAATCCAGTACAACCAGAAGATAATGGAGAAAGAATCGCTGCAGCGAATGGCAGCGATCGAGGACGAGATGCATCTGGCGAGGCAGAAGAGTCGCTCTGACGCTGATCACTATCAGATGAAGAGGCAGGCGGAGGCCAATCGCCTCCTCCTGTCGAAAGAATTTCTGGAGCTGAAGAAGTACGAGGGCCTGTCCAAGATCGCGAAAATCTACTATGGACAGGACATACCGAAAATGTTCGCCATGGGCGGCTGCTCGATGGAGTCCACCCTCGGCTCACCCGCAGTTTCGACAACACCCGAGGATGAATCCGCCCAGAGCTAATTCGACTCATCACGGTCATCGCCCATTTTTTTTCAACTCCTTGTGATAATTATCTCGTTTGTTGTCGTATGTATTCTGTGAAGTAATTGATAATTATGGTTCATTGATATTTGAAGAATAAATATTATTTTGTAATTTTCGACTATTTTGCACGATTTTTCAGAGCTGAACAATATTTTTTGAAGATCAAATAGAAATACTATTCCAAATAGTTCAGTACGATGAAATACTATTTGAAATATATATTTTAAGTTGACTATTTTGGTCGATCAAATAGTATTTATTTTTTTGTCTTTGAAATTGAAATAAAATAGTTATTTGATGTTTAATTTCAACGAAACAGAAAATGAAATAGTATTTACTATTTTATTTCACTATTTCACTATTTGATTTTACATGAAATATTTTTTTTCCACGAATATTTCCATTTTTTATCCCTTGTCACTTTCATTGATTTCTCGCGGTGACATAATCACAGAACTGGGCACTATTTTATGAAAATCAAATAGAAATACTATTCCAAATAGTTCAGTACGATGAAATACTATTTGAAATATACATTTCATGTTGACTATTTTGGTCGATCAAATAGTATTTATTTTCTTATGTCTTTGAAATTGAAATAAAATAGTTATTTGATGTTTAATTTCAACGAAACAGAAAATTAAATAGTATTTACTATTTTATTTCACTATTTCACTATTTGGTTTTACATGAAATATTTTTTTTCCACGAATATTTCCATTTTCTATCCCTTGTCACCTTCATTGATTTCTCGCGGTGACATAATCACAGAACTGGGCACTATTTTATGAAAATCAAATAGAAATACTATTCCAAATAGTTCAGTACGATGAAATACTATTTGAAATATACATTTCATGTTGACTATTTTGGTCGATCAAATAGTATTTATTTTCTTATGTCTTTGAAATTGAAATAAAATAGTTATTTGATGTTTAATTTCAACGAAACAGAAAATTAAATAGTATTTACTATTTTATTTCACTATTTCACTATTTGGTTTTACATGAAATATTTTTTTTCCACGAATATTTCCATTTTCTATCCCTTGTCACCTTCATTGATTTCTCGCGGTGACATAATCACAGAACTGGGCACTATTTTATGAAAATCAAATAGAAATACTATTCCAAATAGTTCAGTACGATGAAATACTATTTGAAATATATATTTTAAGTTGACTATTTTGGTCGATCAAATAGTATTTATTTTCTTATGTCTTTGAAATTGAAATAAAATAGTTATTTGATGTTTAATTTCAACGAAACAGAAAATGAAATAGTATTTACTATTTTATTTCACTATTTGGTTTTACCAAAAGAGAGAATACCCCAAACAAAAAATTGAGTACTGAATTTATTTAGTATTAAAAATAATCCCGATATCCCGCGTTATAGAGGCGCCACTGTTTCAAGTACCTTCCCATCCAAAAATATTCTCCCACTGCACTACAGTCTGAGCACTGAAATGGTGTTATCACCAGTTACCAGTCTCCAGTGATAAACATTGTTATTTGAATGCGAAAAAAAGCTTCATAAATATTTTCTATGGAATTTAAGGCGTGCTAAAATAACCAGTCCCTCGTCGATTCCTGATCTCGTTGTTATGGAGTAGAAGAGCTGCTCTGACTCCCGGAAAATGTGCGACTGACAGACGAGCGATTCAACTCTCATTCTCAGTCAAAGTCGTCCTCTGTCAAACGACAACTGTCAGTCCAGAATAAATAGACAATATGACTGCGACTCTGGTGAGTGAATTATCACAGCTGCGAAGTGGAATTGGGACTCGTTGGGGGATCAGGAAATTGAGGTTAACTATTGCTCCTTTCAGGACCTCAAGAAATTTTTGCATCAGCTGTTGACTAGTGTCGAGGGTCTCCACAGCATACTGATAACAGATCGTGACGGTGTGCCAGTGGTATCGGTGGCTAGCGATAAGGCACCGGAGTTGGCCATGAGGGCGAGTTTCTTGTCAACATTTGGAATGGCAACTGATCAGGGGAGCAAACTGGGACTTGGGAAGAACAAGACTATTATTTGTATGTACAGTAGTTATCAGGTAAAGCCATCATCATTTTTACCAATTGCATGGTAATTACTTTAGTTTTATTATCTTTGGGAATTTTATTCACTTAATGACTTTATTTTGTGAATTTTATTCTCTTAAAAACCTTATTTTTGTTATCTTTGAGAATCTCATTCATGAGTTTTTTGGTCTCAATTTAATCCAGAGGGGCAATTGATAAATAAATGTTAAGGATTTCATGTAAAACACAATTTCATTTCTTATTTTAATAGAATTGAATTGAATTTTTAATATTTTCAACTTTATTCATTAATTTTTCTTACTAAATTTAATTCAGAAGATGAAGTAGATGAATTAATATAATGACTTTGAACTAATGACTACTAATGAAAAATAATTAAAATTGAATCATTAAATTGTGCATTGTCTTTATGTATTGTCAGACATCAATCATTCATTTTTATTAATTATATGATAATTACTCCATTTTTATTATCTTTGAGACTTTTATTCATCAGTTTTTTTGGGCTCAATTTAATCCAAAGAGTGAATTGATAAATAAATGTTAAGGATTTCATATAAAACACAATTTCATTTCTTATTTTAATAGAATCGAATTGAATTTTTAATATTTTCAACTTTATTCATTAATTTTTCTCACTAAATTTAACTGAGATGACAAAGTAAATGAAATATTATTTTATCCTCTTAGAATATAAAATAAAATAGTCTTGTAAAATGATAAAATCGACATCGTTTATGAAATTTTCATCACTTATTCATTGTAAATCACATTTTTCACAATCAATCACTGCGATTTTTTAATTATTCACATAATAAACAACTTCATTCTCATAATTTTTCAAATCACTTCAATTTATTTCTCCCATTTCAACTGACAAATTGAAATAAATGAATTGTCAACGCCTATTTCAAATAAAATACTATTATTCTTTCCTCCATCGTCTGCACATGAAAACCGACGAATTTTCCCTCAATCATTAGTTGTTATCGCAGAAAAATCACTTTTCAGGTGGTGCAGATGAACAAACTACCTCTGGTCGTGAGTTTCATAGCGTCTCACGGCTGCAACACAGGACACATCCTCTCCCTGGAGAGCCGCATCGATCCGATCCTCAGTAATCTGAAAAACGCTGTCGTGGAAGCCTGATGGTTACCCGTCGTTCACTACGGGTGATAAAATCCTTGTGAAAAAACTAAACTAAACAAATAAAAAAGCGAATGTGATTTTCTACCGCAAATCGAGGCTGATCACGACCGAACTTTTATCGAGCGTGAGTTACACCGAGTCAATCGTTGAAAATAGGGGAGAGAGCTGTCAATCAAGCCTACGAAATCATCAATAATCTGGATGAAACAGAGAATTAAATATTCTTCATTGGAAGTGAACAGGACAGGTGAATCGATATCAAACCATTATATAAATTTTACAATGGATGTATAAAGAGAATAATTTTCAAGACTATTCGTAAGATTGTTTATCTGTATATTGAAAGAATATTATTAAAAATGCAAGTATATCATAATTTACAATAATACTTTCACACCTTTGGAATACTGACGAAAATCAACACCCTCGATTTTCCGCAACGAATAACTCGAGATCGGCAGAGTGAAATTCAAACATTTTTCATTCATTTTGAAGATTTTTTTTCAGGCTTCAAAATGAGCCCTGACTCATTCAAATCGCATCGCTGAGTCGGGAGATATTGAACCTACTCAATCACGAAAAATACCGTCCAACTGTTCACCAGATAAAACCGGTCCAGTTTAATCGTCAATAACTCGAGATCGGCTGGGCGAATCTCAGTGATTTTTTTTTCATTTCGAAGCTCGAAAAAGTGTCTTCAAAATGAGCGCCGACTCGTCAAAATCGTGTAGTTCAATCCGGAGAAATCGGCGATTGAAATCAGTTTTTGTTTTCATCGAAAATCAAGTTAATTTTAATTTTTTACAAAAAAGTCAAGTCTTTTCCCCCACGTTCCTAGAGAGTGTCATTCGTCGATAATTCTAGAGGGCATAGGCCAAGGGTTGACCCCCCAGAGCGTCCAGTATATTCTGCGCGGCAACAGCCGACATTTCCTCCCTCGTTTTGACAGTGGCTGAACCCAGATGTGGCACAATCTCAAAATTCGGAAGTTTCAGCAGTTCGTGGTCTTTTGGCAGGGGCTCGGGGTCAATGACGTCCATCCCCGCAGCGAATATAGTCCTCTCCTTGAGTGCTTTCAGCAGAGAACTCGTTTTGACAACCGCCCCGCGCCCGACATTCACGAGAACCGCGGTTTTCTTCATTTTTTTTAATGCCACGTCGTCGAACAATCCCCTCGTCTCGTTTGTCAGGGGCACCGCCACGACGATGAAGTCACTCAGCTCGAGGATGTCGTCGAGGGAGACGAACTCAGCCCCCAGCTCGTCGCCAGCCTTCTTCGGGCTGTGGCCGGTGTACAGGAATTTTCGAACTGCAAAACCCGCCAGACGCTTCACGGCCTCTTGGCCGATGCCTCCTAGACCGACTATTCCCACTGTCGAACCACGCAGGTCGCGACCCAGGAGCCACTGGGGACCACTTTCGGTCATTCCTCTGGAAGAATTCATGTTTAAGTTTAAGATAAGGGGGGTGTGAAAAACATTGGAGGAAGGCCGGGGAAATCACTGGGGAATTATTTTGGAAATTAGATTTTCGTTGGAAAATTCTATTCAAAATGAGTTTGTGGGGGAGACATTTGCTTGCAAAATTTTGTAGGGAAGATGGCGAAGAGAAAAATGAACAAGAGGTACGATAAAATTGGAGGAAATCACTGGGAAATTCCATCAAGATTTTTTTTATTTCCATAAAAACATAAAAAAATAAAAATCTGTGGGTCCAATATTTTCTGTATTATTTCAAGAAATTGTTTTCAAAATTTTCTAGGAAAGATGTTGAATAGAAAAATGAACAAGAGATGCGATAAAATTGGAGGAAATTCTGTGGAAATGACTGGGAAATTCTATCAAGATTTATTTATTTCCATAAAAAAATAAAAAAATAAAAATCTGTGGGTCCAATATTTTCTGTATTATTTCAAGAAATTGTTTTCAAAATTTTCTAGGAAAGATGTCGAATTGAAAAATGAACAAGAGATACGAAAATTGGAGGAAATTCTGTGGAAATCACTGGGAAATTCCATCAAGATTTTTTTAATTTCCATAAAAACAAAAAAATAAAAATCTGTGGGTACAATATTTTCTGTGTTGTTTCAAGAAATTCTTTTCAAAATTTTCTAGGGAAGATGTCGAATTGAAAAATGAACAAGAGATACGATAAAATTGGAGGAAATTCTGAGGAAGTCACTGGGAAATCCTATCAAGATTTATTTATTTCCATAAAAAAATAAAAAAATAAAAATCTGTGGGTCCAATATTTTATGTGTTGTTTCAAGAAATTCTTTTCAAAATTTCCTAGGCAAGATGTAGACTAGGAAAATAGACTAGAGAGACGATAAAATTAAAGGAAATCCTGAGGAAATCACTGGGAAATTCTATCAGGATTTTTTAAATTTCCATTCAACATAAAAAATAAAAATCTGTTGGTCCAATATTTTCTGTATTATTTCAAGAAATTCTTTTCAAAATGTTCTAGGAAAGATGTTGAATAGAAAAATGAACAAGAGATGCGATAAAATTGGAGGAAATTCTGAGGAAATGACTGAGAAATTCTATCAAGATTTTTTTTATTTCCATAAAAAAATAAAAAAAATAAAATCTATTGCTCCAATATTTTCTGCTGTCTTCCTACAAAAACAGCCTAAAAAGTAATTTATCTATAACAAAATATCGTTGAAAAATTGGGAAATTAATAAAAAAAATTGATAAAATTAATTATCAATTAATTAATTAATTAATCAATTTACTATTAAAAAATTAATTCCAAAATGCGATTTACGTTTCCTCAATTCCCTCCAAAAATCCATAAAAAAACAAATAATTAATTTCGAAAAAAAGATTAAAAAATTGTATTACTCTTCAAGAAGAGTGCGACCCTCGTGCGCCCGTCTGGCCGCATTCAGCATGAGCATGACCGCGATCTCGGCGACCGCAGCACTGAGAACCTGGGGCGTATGTCCAACCTGGATTCCCCGCTTCTTGATTTCGGGGACATCCAGGTGATCGTAGCCAGCTGACATTGTCGAAATAACCTTGAGATTGGGACCTTCGCAGAAAGATTTTTCGTTATCATTTGAAAGCCACGAAGTCGTTTGAAGTGCCAGATAAACACAAGAGCCTATTTATCTTGAAAAATCAAAATAGAACAGTGTTCGTACCAGCGATATCGAGGAACTCAGAATTGACGTTGACGTGTCCAGAGAGGAATACAGCATCGTGCCCGGGGAGAGCCGCGAATACTTGCTCTTGGGTGGGTGAGACGTATGGCAAAATAGTAACATCACATCTGGAAATAATTATAACAATCAGATGAACGAGACTGATTGCCCTAATGATTCAGAATAATCCTAATTTTTAAATTATTCAAGTCGACTTGGCTCTTCGCTGGGTTTTCGAGGGATATCTCCGAATCTAAGGGGGATAACGGAATCGTCGTAAGGACCTTTTTTGTAGAGCGAATTGAGGGCTACAAAAAAGGTCTTGACAAAAAATGGGCTGTCTCCCTTAGATTCCGAGATATTTATTGAAAACTGGACAGTAGTTAGAATTGACGTAAACCATAAAAAAAAACTATCGTTATATTTTACTGAAAAGAATTATTATTATTTCAAAAAAACAACATCAATACAACATATACTGACAAAATAGTTTGGAAATTACCAAATTTCAGTGAATTGTTTCTTCAAAATTCTCATGCTTTGAAATTCCATGAATTTTCTAAATAAATTCTCAATGTCAAATCATGATAAAAGCTTTTCTATCGATTAAATACAAAAACCTCAATTTTCCTGAATTCCTAACAAAAATGAAAATTGAAAACCCCAAGGTCACCGATGGAATTTCAGATATCCATCGAACGCTAATGCGTGTCTAACAGAAATCTAAATAATGACTGAACAAAATGAATAAAATCTCAATCTCAAAACTCATTTGAATTTCCACGGAATTCCCCAGTAAATTAAAAAAATTCAAACGAAAATTCCCCGTTCGTCCGCTCCAAAACCGAATTCCTAGTCTTTAATTCTCAAAGAATGAAAGATGGAATCTCTTCCTCGGCGCAATCACACCCGCAATTCAAAATAAATTCCTAATGTCAAACTATGATAAATTCTTTTCTACCGATTAAATACAAAAACCTCAATTTTCCTGAATTCCTAACAAAAATGAAAATTGAAAACCCCAAGGTCACGGATGGAATTTCAGATATCCACCGAACGCTAATGCGTATCTAACAGAAATCTAAATAATGACTGAACAAAATGAATAAAATCTCAAAACTCATTTGAATTTCCACGGAATTCCCCAGTAAATTTAAAAAATTCAAACGAAAATTCCCCGTTCGTCCGCTCCAAAACCGAATTCCTAGTCTTTAATTCTCAAAGAATGAAAGATGAAATCTCTTCCTCGGCGCAATCACACCCGCAATTGAAAATGGCTACGTCATAGATCGCGTTGGAAACCTCAACCGAGCGTTAATGAACATCTAATAATAATCTAGCAGATGAAGTCTTACGTGACGCCGAGCAGCTTGATTCCCGTTTTCGGGGTATCGCAACTGGTAACGAGAACCTTCGGCCTCGACATGATCGCTTCGACCACCGACATAATACTGAGCGATAAATCCCCCGACAAACCCTCTATCACAAAAACAAACTAATTGCGAGCGCTTCGCTAGAGCCTTTTATACCGAATGTTAGAAATATGAACGGGATCCCGTGCGCAGGCGCACTCACGGAAAAACCGCGGCGATAACTCCCCAAAATTACCGCAGACTTTTGTTTTCGAGGGTCAATGCCCCGTGAAACATCCCGAAAAAATATTTCCGGTGGCCTCCAACACAAAAATTCATGGGAGAAATTTCCAAGTCTGCTGCATCGTTGAGAATTTTTCCACATTTTTTCGAGATCTCAATTTCAAAAAAAAAAAAAAAAAAAAAATTTGATGTTTTTGTAAGCCCTCCAGCTGTAACCTTCGAGGTTACCCTACTCTCAATTAGGGAAATGTCCATGGCAGCCAATTTTTTTTTTTTTTTTTAATCGTTATTTTACATCGCTTCGACCCGGTTAGGGTTTACTGCGATGATTAAGACTTTAAATGGTTAGATCGCCCCATTCTACCCGGCCGGGATTTGAACTCGGAACCTTTCGCATGTGAGGCAACGAACTTACCCACTGCGCCAAGCCACCGGGCGCAGTAAAAAAAAAAAAAAAAAAAAAAAAAAAAAAAAAAANAAAAAAAAAAAAAAAAAAAAAAAAAAAAAAAAAAAAAAAAAAAAAAAAAAAAAAAAAAAAAAAAAAAAAAAAAAAAAAAAAAAAAAAAAAAAAAAAAAAAAAAAAAAAAAAAAAAAAAAAAAAAAAAAAAAAAAAAAAAAAAAAAAAAAAAAAAAAAAAAAAAAAAAAAAAAAAAAACTTAAGGAAAAACTAGTGGCTAATAAATCAAATTTTTCCTGAGAACACGTATAAGTTTCAGATTTATTTCCGATTTCATAAGAAAGTTATTTGAACAAATGATTCGGAAAATTATGAGTTTCGGGGGCAATTGCGCCCTTACGCGCAGGCGCGTGATTCGAATGTCAGTGGGCATGGTGGGAAAGCTATGGGTTGGACCATGAAACTGAGAGAGAGAAAACACTCGACAGGTTTACCAACTCGAGACGCATTTCAATATTATTTCGATAATTAGAATAACATCCAATAAAAATTATTTGACACCCGCAGGTGATGAGAAAAAAATCAATCAATCTGATAACTAGAATCACTATTCAAAAAATGTTCAAGCGCCCACTCAAATAGTCACTTGAAAATTGGAAAATATCGTGCTCAGCGATTGAATCAGGGCTCGCGAACAAAAGACCCCCTTCCGTGTCACTCCCCGCGGATCAACAGCCGAAGCACCTTAAGAATGTTTCCAACCCATTACAGATTCTCTAGATCAAGCGGAAACCCAACCGTTGCGGGAGGCGCGCCAGAGCGCTGCCACCTCTGCGTCCTCCTGCTATTCTGATGATAAAAGACGTTACTTTTCTCCGAGTGACGGACAAGTTCATGTCCATTTGACCCAGCGGATGTCGTCTCCCTCCACGTGACACTAAACAAAAAAAAAAAAAAAAAAAAAAAAAAAAANAAAAAAAAAAAAAAAAAAAAAAAAAAAAAAAAAAAAAAAAAAAAAAAAAAAAAAAAAAAAAAAAAAAAAAAAAAAAAAAAAAAAAAAAAAAAAAAAAAAAAAAAAAAAAAAAAAAAAAAAAAAAAAAAAAAAAAAAAAAAAAAAAAAAAAAAAAAAAAAAAAAAAAAAAAAAAAAAAAAAAAAAAAAAAAAAAAAAAAAAAAAAAAAAAAAAAAAAAAAAAAAAAAAAAAAAAAAAAAAAAAAAAAAAAAAAAAAAAAAAAAAAAAAAAAAAAAAAAAAAAAAAAAAAAAAAAAAAAAAAAAAAAAAAAAAAAAAAAAAAAAAAAAAAAAAAAAAAAAAAAAAAAAAAAAAAAAAAAAAAAAAAAAAAAAAAAAAAAAAAAAAAAAAAAAAAAAAAAAAAAAAAAAAAAAAAAAAAAAAAAAAAAAAAAAAAAAAAAAAAAAAAAAAAAAAAAAAAAAAAAAAAAAAAAAAAAAAAAAAAAAAAAAAAAAAAAAAAAAAAAAAACCAATCGCCGTTGCGGAGACGGTTCACTCCTGTCTGCGGGACGGAAAAATCATTTGCGACGATTTGGTCTCGAAATGACGATGATTTGTCAACGTGAGGTGTCATAAGACCGCTATTGATCCCCCGGGGAAGCGTAATTATAACGTTAGAGAGGACTCGAATTGACGACAATCGTCGTTCACAACATCAGGAATTTATGTATCGACAGGAAGCTTTTAGACGGCATTAACTTTGAAATAAAGTACACTGAGTTACGCGTAACGGCGTAATAGAGCCTGCGTAATATGAGTATTGTAGGGTAAATTGCCCAGTAGATGGACGTCTAAGAAAACCGCCCAGTGTAGATGGACGTTTGTTTTTTAATAATTGAAAAAAAAAAAATTTAGTAATTGATCGAAAAAAAATCGCCATTCGGGGGTTGAGAATCACAATAGGCAATGAAAATTCAAAGCAACAATTAATATTTCAGTATTTTTTTCCGTAATTTCCTGTCCAAAAGTAACTCGTCCATCTACTGGGTAGCTTACTACACCGAGTTTGGAGTTTCTGGGTGAATTGTAACGCTTCAGAGGCATTTCGAAACGTCGAGTAACAGGGAAGCAGGAGCCGTTGACAATGGATTGACTATTGTAGAGGTTCACAACATTTTTTCGCAACAATAATTGGAAAAAATCATGGGATATTGGAAGAGTTTAGAATACTATTTTATTGTCAAATCGCGATGTTTCGCTCGCTGAAAATGCGCAATGCGTGAGAATGATTGGCAATTGTGGAATTGTGAAATTGCGAAATGAATAGTTTCTGTCTGTGAAGACACGAATGACGTCAGCGAGAGATATCTGATTTTTTTTTTTTTTTTTTTTTTTTTTTTTTTTTTTTTTTTNTAATGCTCTTGGTGAGCAGATAACTTGAAACTATTCAGACTTCTCGTGCCTCGCAGGAACTGAAATGACTTATGCCGATGGCTTCTACAAGGAAAGTAAAACAGGTATTGAACTGAGCAGTCGATATTTTTTCTAACAGGGGAGCAGAGTGCGGCCACGCGTTGCGATTGTGGAACACGTGTGGCGGTCGGATATTCCGTGTTTTCCCTGCGTGTCAAAGTTATGTGTAAGCAGAATTGCTTAGATCCTATCAGGGGAACAGCAGCAGTGGGGGGGTTTATTCTATGATGAGGCGTGACCTGCCAGTCAGAGCCTTATGAAAGTCGAGTAGAAATACTATGCCACATCATCCAAGACAATGTCAAACATTTTATTTCTCCATCTTAAGCATATAATGCTAACAACCAATTGAATACTGAATTACTTATTGTTATCTTTTCGCTTATTTTCTGCGTTCTACACATTGTACATATGTAACTTGTAAATACCAGGCTGAAGGCCCTCGGGCGATGGCCAATCGCAAGTTTCTTGCGACGAATTCCGTTAAAAATAAAAAATAAAAATACTATGCCACATGGTTGAGTAGGAAATACTATTTGAAATGTGTATTTCAAGTTGACTATTTTGGGTGATCAAATAGTATTCATTCATATTTCTTTTTGACATTGAAATAAAATAGTTATTTGATATTTCATTCTTATTATTATTGTTATTACTATTATTACAGGTATATATATATATATAAATCAGTCATAAATATTTGAAATAGTATTTAGCCAGTTCAAATCTTATATACAAGAGTGCGTGGGCTAGTTAATTTTCATTAATGACAATTTATTAAAAGCGAATCGTTTTTTCTCAAAAATTTAACTTCCTCATAAATAAATGACCGACAACCGTCGAAATAAAATCCTCGGGCAGTCTCGAGCGATTCGAAGAAAAAGATACCGGAGTGCGTTGTTGACATACCGCAGGAGTCCTCCGGTGAAAAAAAATAGAGAAAAAAAAAAACACCCGTTGGCTCGATGTATTTGAACCCGAGACGGCTGGCGTCAGCTTCTAAACTCGGTCGTTGCATCACTACCACTCCATTGTTTAAACAAACCCATCAGAGTCAACTCTGGATGTGATCTAGGGATACCTGTTTTTTTATGTAAATAACTGTAAATAATGTAATAATATTCACATAATTATGTAAAATTAAAAATTCAATAAATTTAATTTATCCATTAAATTTTTTTTTTGTTATTTAATTTAAAAATTATGTAAATATTATTACATTATTTACCGTTATTTACATAATGTTGTCTTTAATTTTACATAATTATGTAAAGAACGGTAAATAATATCCTGTCGTAGTTGTGAATAGAAATATTTAAAAAAAAGGTTTTGATCTCGACGAATCCTCGTTGTTTTTACAAATATAAAACCGGAGGCGAAATAAAGGAAAAAAAAACCGTTGGAAGGCGCGCATCGAGAATCGAGCCGCAGTATTGGCAGCACTGTACATTCGAAAGCCACCGTAGTACGAAATGTTCTGAAATAGTTTAGTTTGCGTTCACCTTGAATATCACTCCAGGAACATTAATCAAAGGCCGTTTTCATAATCGTGAGTAATTACATCTCTTCTCACGACAAAACTACTCAACTTCACCGGATAAAACAGGGAAAATCGGTACTGTTTAGGCTTTGAGGTTATAGAGTGGAAATTACATCATGACTGAGTCTGCCCATTCGTTTATTTCAACGTTCTGTTTACTTATTCGATAATTGGTGTTTTGATAGGAGCAAAATGAAGTGGGTTTCGAGACAAATTGCTCTGCCGCTTGTGATTGGAATCTCGTTGACTGGCGTCTGCGTCGGGGTGTTATATTTGTTGTACAAACAGGTAAGATTGAGAAGAAACAATTGATTTTTCATTCGTTTATTTATTATTAATTAATTACAAACGAGTTGAAGGGGCAAGAGGTGATTAATCAGGGGAATGATAAAATTAACTTTTTTTCAATTGCCGATTCCTCGAGATTGGCAGAGTGAAATTGGACGATTTTTTTTTCATTTTGAAGATATTTTTTCGGGCTTTACAATGAAATTTGAATCGTCCAAATCGCTCCATTTGTTCGTGAGATATCGAGGATTTAATTTGGTTCACTTTACCTCTTTCAATTGCATTTGTTATTTTTTTTCTCAAGGATGAGGAGAACCACAAGAGCATACGGTCGCGTCCCAGGAAGCTCCTTCGAACGGTGGAAATGAAAGTGCCAAAGGCCTCAGTCCCAGTGATAATAGGTCGCGGTGGAAGCACAGTGAAGGACATCGAGGGCAAGACCTCGACGAAAATTCACTTCAGTGAAGACGTGCTTCAGGAGGCCCATCGAATCTGCTACATTCGAGGGACGATAGAGGAGACTAGACTGGCAGAACAGTTGATCCAGAGCATCATCGACGATCAGCCAGTCATCGAGGTTTACGAAATGCTGGCGCCCCAGAAATTCTGCCTCTCTTTACTTGGCAATAGGAGAGTGGAAGTCATCCAGTCCTACAGCAATGCTAAAATCATTATGGAGAAGGCCTACTCTCGTGATCCAGGTATTTATCCCAATGATCTCTCGATCTTGATGAATTAAATTGTGGAATTTTAATTTCATTTGAATTCCAAATGGAATTTTTATTCTCATTTTTATTTTATTAAGACCCAACGGCACAAATAATTATTATTTCATTCATATTATATTCATTAATTATGAATTTTTATTAAAAAAAAACAATTTACGACAAAAATATGAGTTTAAATAATTTTATTCGTCGTTCAGCCCAATTAAATTATGAAATTTAAATTTTAGTTGAATTCCAAATGGAATTTTTATTCTCGTTTTTATTTTATAAAGACCCAACGGCACAAATAATTATTATTTCATTCATATTATATTCATTAATTATGAATTTTTATTAAAAAAAAACAATTTACGACAAAAATATGAGTTTAAATAATTTTATTCATCGTTCAGCCCAATTAAATTATGAAATTTAAATTTTAGTTGAATTCGAAGTGGAATTTTTATTCTCATTTTTATTTTATTAAGACCCAACGGCACAAATAATTATTATTTCACTTATATTATATTCATTGATTATGAATTTTTATTTTAAAAAAACAATTCACGACAAAAATATGGGTTTAAATAATTTTATTAGTCGTTCAGCCCAATTAAATTATGAAATTTAAATTTTAGTTGAATTCGAAGTGGAATTTTTATTCTCATTTTTATTTTATTAAGACCCAACGGCACAAATAATTATTATTTCATTCATATTATATTCGTTAATTATGAATTTTTATTTTAAATAAACAATTTACGACAAAAATATGTGTTTAAAAAATTTTATCAGTCCAATTAAATGAAGTTTTAATTTCATTCAATTTTTGTTCTCAATCTCGATACATTAAAAAATGAAACTTAAATTTTCTTTGAATTCCAGATATAATTATCATTTTTATTTCATAAGACTCCAAAAGCAGAAAAAATTATTTCAAACTCAAAGTAATATTTTTAAAAATTTCCTTTAATTTTGTGTTTTTTTATTTCGAAAAAATTGATTCATGAAAATTGAAGTTCGAATCATTGAAATTTGGGCAATTATTTCCTCGAAATTCGCCCACTCGTTGAATTAAGAAAAGAAAATTTTTACAGAAATTAGATCTTGGAAAATTTCGCCTGATCTTCGATATTTCAATTCCTTAAATTTCTGTTTGGAATTTTTTTTCAGATGCCAAAAGACGAGTGATTATAAAGGGAACAGCTGAGCAGATTGCAACAGCTCTAAATGAAATCCAGGAGAATCTCCGAGATTTCAACGACATGGAGGAGAAGATCAAGCTGAGACAGTCTTCACCATTTCTAAGGAAGAAAATTCCCCCCAGAAGCCCTGCTACTACCGCCGAACCGAATGAGAGTCAAGTGGCCTCTGGAGAAGCTCATGAACTTCATGGTAAATATTCCTAAAAACACAAATTTTTCTTCTTTTTAATGACCTCTTAATAATTGAAAGGCAAGATTAATCCGTGTAATTGATCTTTACTCCGTTTAAACACAATTTTTTTTCGTTTTATTTAATACTGGAGATGTGAGAAAAAATCTTCTTACAACGAAAAAAATTCTGAAATGTTGTAGAGGGCACGAAAGAAGTTTATGTGAGTGCAACAGACTCTCCAAGTGAATTCTGGGTGCAGGTAGTGGGGCCTGGTACTCTGGCACTTGATGATCTGGTCAAAGCCATGACTGACTACTACAATAACGACGAGAGTCGAGAGCTTCATACTCTCATCCACGTAAGACTCGAATTATTCTCGTTATTAAAAGCAATTTTCTTTCATTCAGAAACAAACTTGAGAGAATTTCAACCGATTATTATCATAAATTTTCGAAAAAAACGCCTCCCCTGGGGCAGATTTCAGAGGGTGAAACAGTAGCAGCTAGACTTACCTTCGACAACTGCTGGTACCGAGCAGAGATCACGTCGTTCGTCGGTAATGGCCAGTACGAGGTATTCTTCCTCGATTATGGTGAGCATGCGGTGATAAATGTCACTGATATCCTCGAGCTTCGAACAGACTTCCTGAGCCTTCGTTTCCAGGCAATTGAATTCTCACTGGCCAACGTGAAGCCCAAGTGAGTGAGATTCTCCTCTACATTTTTGCCATTTTCAGTTTCTTATGACTGTCAAGGCACGATCGATAAATCATTTCATTTTGGAGTCTGAAAATTACGCTCTTTATTCTTCTTCTTCCCAAATTAATTCAGCAGCGAAGTGGTGAAGCAGTTTGAGCCGATTTTGACAATTGGCCAGTTTTTAGTGAATATCTCGGAATCTAAGGGAGAAGGTAAAATTTTTGCTCAGACTTTTCTCGTAGCACTCAATTTGCTGGAGAAAAAAGGTTATTAGGAAAATTTTATCATCTCCTTTAAATTCGGAGATATTCTTCAAAAACTTAACCAAGAGATAAGTCGACTTAAGTCCCGGGTGCACTATCTTTCGAACGTTATCCAGATGTTTTTTTTTCATCTTTCGTCATCTGAAATTGTCAATTGAGTCCTGCATCATGCAGAAGTTTTGAAAAATTATGAATGAATAATCAAAAAAAAGTAGAAGAAATTCTTAATTTTTTCAAAGAGCATTTTTCATTTATATTCAGAATAAGTTGAATAACAAGAAATTGACAAATGTATCTGATTTACGGTGACAAATGGCGGATTGTCACCCAATATCATGCAGGGGGAAGACTGATTTCGTAAATCTTTTCCCACAGAGACATTTATTACGGAAAAGGCTCTTTGAAAAAAGTTGTAATATTTTGGAGAATTTTTCAATCACACTTTTATCACATAAAAATGGCAGATTAAATTCCATCAATAATTATCACCATCGCCCCAGGCTGATAATCCCCACCGTTTTCGTCACTTCCATCAATTTTATTAACGATAAAATAAATAATACAAATTTAAACATGGGAATAGCCCCATCAATTGCTCAATTCGCTGTCGTCCATGTTGCTGGACTGCGACCCCCCAATGCCAGCCTCGCAGGCCTCGTGAAACAACTCAGGGTTCACCTGCTCCATGATCTTCCAGGCGAAGCTCTTGTTGATGTTCATGGCATTCTCCTCGCAATAAGCCAGTCCCGCTCGTTTCAGGGCATCACAATTGAACTCGTCAGCCATGAGGAGAAGTGACGCGACGTTTTCCGGGGTCAGGGTTTCGATGAGATTTCTCTCACAGAGTTCCTTCAAACCTGTCGACAATTTCCGTTAGTACTGGGGTCTCTTTGCCCTCCCATATTACGTTATTTCTGAATTCCTCACCCTTCAGACGAAATCTCTCAGCCACAGACAGCAGTTGACTCGCGAGAGTATCTAAATTATCCACGTGATCGCTGTAAACGTATCTCAACAACTCCTCAGTCAACTCATGCGAGAGATCTGTCAAGTCCAGGGTGTACTGATAGGGCATCTGAGGGGATTAAATCAATACCATCGCCTCTGTTCTCTTTATCTCAACAAAACACTCGTGCAGAAGCAACTAAATAAATCCAAATAGTCCTCCTACTTCTCCAGGCCATTTTGCGGTTCTCAGCGATTTTACTCTCCCATTCAATTAAAAACAAATCTTCACTACTTGCCGACGTTTCGAGCGGTATGTCCACTCCTCATCACGGCAATTTATTCATTTTTATCTACAAAAAATTTATAAAAAATTCTTATTACCATATCTCCATACAGAGTCAATTTACTTGTTTTCATTCACAGAATCTAAATCTCTCTGTAGTTTTTTTTTTTTTTTTTTTTAAACACAATTTACCCGTTTTCATTCACAGAATCTAAATCTCTCTGTAATGTTTTGTCTGTAATGTTTTTTTTTTTAAACACAATTTACCTGTTTTCATTCACAGAATCTAAATCTCT